AATGTAGTAACGAAAGTCGAATACGAGTTTACTTGGTATGGAAGGCGAATTGACGCAGTACAAGCGCAAATTACTCTTGGTAGCGTTGCGATTCCATTTGTTAGAGATATGGTTCAGCTAGTCACATCCGATACTTTCATCAACACTGTCGGCCAGAACTTTTCCGTCAGATTTCTTCACGCGTTGCGAAACTCTTCAAACTCCTCAAGCGTTCGTCAAACTCCAGTTCAGCGCTCAGGGAACCCAGGCTATGTACTTGGTCGTCCAGTGCTGGGCCGCCTACTGAACAGCACAGGACAGGTATGTTGTCAAATGCCTCTGTCTTGTCACTTTGATCGAGCATATAAGAAACAAAGATTGAGCGGTTTGTAATCGTACAAGATGAAACAAAAATTAGAACAAAACACGAAATGGATTCGAGTTATCTAGAGTCCAAAACAGTATTTGTGTGAATTCGATTCTTGGGGTAGAGTGCTGCTTCGGTGTAAGACGTCGTTATTCGCTAGCAGTTTACAGAGAAAGATAAAGTTTGAAGCGTTAGCCCTTTCGCTCTGACGAAGGGCTAACGGTCGAAACGTCAGCTTTGAAACTCTTAACAGTGGCAAATCTACGTTATCAACTCAGTCGGTAATACCAAATTACCCTGGTATACTCTTCCAGGGACGCAGCACTACAGTTTCTTAATAAACTTACCCCTTAAATACAAAAAAAGATACTTGCACGTCTTCCAAGTCTCTGTTTCTATTTAATCTCTCATGGACGCCATTTGCCGTAAAAAGAACCGAATTTTTGATCCGCATGTAATTCAATAAGGCGGTTCGTTGTTGTATGACCCAGTTACCTCTTTACAAACGAGTACGTCGTTTGGTGGTAGTGGAAGCTGGACCATGGTTCAAGAAGTATTGTTCAAGCCTTGGCCCAGTGGACCATTGCTTTATGTTTTATGCCTGAGACAGTTTGCTTTTTTAGAGCCTGTCTCCACTTAGGGGTGTCGATGGGCATTGATTGACTGTCATGGAAACTTTATCAATTGTTTGTGATGGGGTTTCCGTTAAAAGACCTGTATCTCGTCCAGGCAGAGTAGCTTTACCTCTTTCTCATTATTGTATAGAAACGGGATAGGCCCTGCCTAAAGAGGCAACTTGACGCCTTACACTTTCAGCGTAATTTAACAACATTTTGTCATTTTAAAATTCCATCAGGTCACCTCTGGAAAAATCCAACTTTGGTCACCAAGCTCTGATGGTCTGTGCGCGGGTTCAACCCTCACCCCAGTCCTTTATGGAGAGGATGCCTTTTCAGGGTGTTTGGTTAAATTATCATTCGATGACATCAGCAACTGTTCTTTGTTACGCGAAACAATATTGACTCATCAGGCTCGTCTGATTCAAGCCACCCATGTCGGTCGCAGTGGCAACGCTGACCTAGATGTTCCTGACGATTGGCTTCCAGTTATAAGGTTAGATGACCAGTGAATCTTGATTTCACAAAAGGAGCTTTGATAAAAGTGTTAAATGAAAAGTTGACCTTCAATTCCTCTCTTTCCATTTACCCGAAGTTGCTTTATTTAATCACAGATTTTTTCTAAGTAGGACGCAAGACAGGTTATCGCTTTAAGCCACTTTAACTCAGAAGAACTCGTAGTGCAGGCCGATAAGAGTTGTCCATGTTCGAGCATTAACTGTTCATAACTTTATTTACAAATGTAGAATCGCGCGCATTATTGTTTTTCCTTGTTAGAGAACCGATAACCAACAACTCAGGCGAGGTATCAGAAGACGGAACTTGTTCTGGAGTCCCTAGTGGGCTGTCAATTGAGATGCTGGTAACTGAAGCTGGGAAATACGCAGGAGTGCCTCAGATGGAAATTGTGGGAACAAGAATCATGTTAGTATAGCTTTAACCCTTGAACTATCAAGATCCAAAAACTCCTTTTACCCCCTCCCTCCGGCTATTCCCGGGGGGAGGGGGTAGAGAGGGCTTTCGTTTGATATTATCCTACGTCCCCTTTGAGTATGGTGTGGGGTGACATCAAAAGAACGTCCGAGCAGAAGACTGGAAATTCCGTACCGTTGACAATTGTCTTCATTCTCGTCACCTATATAACTGCTATGTGTTTCATGAAAACTAATTCTTACGTCAGCGGTTTCTTTGCGTAGTTAGTTTAATTTACATCTAAAAAAGTTGTTTCTTTTGATAAAATATAATCCTCTTCCAATTTCGCGAATAGAAAGAAATGGAAAGCGGGAAAAATTTGATAACGATAAAATTCCAGCTATATTTTCCACTCGCCCTCCTTTCGTGTTGATGTTAATTTTTTCCAGTCTTTTTTCGTATCAGATACCAGTACACTACCTGGCGACTTAGTTGTGTCAGCGGTTACGGTGTGAGTTGTTCTGCACCAGTAACAAACACAAGTGTTAAACAAGTAGTGCCCAGCCCCTCTGCCATCACTCCGACAGCAGCAAGTTCATTGGTCAGCGTCAATATTTCTAACTCATCGGTTACACTAGCCAATCAGAACTCAAGTAAAACGGAAAACGGCTCGAAAAACGGCACGGAAAACGGCACGGAAACGAGGGAGTATGCCCCTCTTTTCCAAAACTTTATGTTGAAAAGCTCGGTTGTTTTCATCAAGGTTCCCTCCGTAAAACCGCAGCCGGTAAAAAGGTAAAAACAAGAAAAGTAGTTTTTATTTGGAAATTGTTATCATTCTGTCTAACGATCTTGTTCTTTACCTCTCCTGTCGTATGCACGCTTAAGGGAAAATATTTTATTTCGAGTGATCAATTTTTAGATTCATCGAGCAAGCGAAATGTTTAAGCGACGAGTCGGCCCGTCTGTGTTCGATTTAAAATGTTCTTACAATTATATGATTCTCGATGAAAGGGCAAATCGTAAAATTTAAATTATCTCGATTCAGAAGTCGGGTCTGCCCACTCAAACAAACTCTCATGTCAATTAATTCTTGTTACCAATATGCCGTTCGCGCTCCAAGCCAAAAGATTTGGCCTAGAAATAAAACATGTCTTATGTTTAAATTGGTTTCATCTTAATAGGAAACTTAACGTTTCCCCCAAGTAACTGGCAAATACTAGAATTTAGGACCTTTCATCGCCGAACATGAAAAAATTTTTTTTCTTTCGATTTTTTAAAATTTTCCATTATTTATGATCTTAGTGTCTTTTTTTCCCACTCTTCTTAGGACGGTGGATCTCAGTGGAATATGTTACAGAGATGTCTGCAAAGAAGAGCTGTTTTTTCCATTAACAGAATCTTATCAAGGAGAGCCTCGTGATAAGGCTATTGCTCTGTCTCTGTTTCTTATATTTTTGGCTCTGGTTACCTTTGCTGTGACAAAGCCCTGGGGATAGCGTACTGTTACTCTTGGTACCTCAGAGTGGTTTCAGTGTGGTCGAGTCGTAGTCAAGGATAGGGTGGTCGAGCTTGGTAATTGTCTTAGTACACACGTTCCAAGCAACGAGGAGGATTTTGTAGCGCGCAAATCAAATGCTCTGTTCTTCAACGTAAATAATGTCAGATTGCGTAAGATCTAAACGCCCACATCGGTGGTGAGTAAGGAAGCAAGTTGCGAAGGAATCTTCTGGAAGGGTTACCAACAACAACACTTGGTGCGGTAAGGATACGAAAGAGCGAGTGGGAAGACACTCCTTTGAAAGTCGACTGTGTGAATGACCTCTGGTACCCTCTTAGATATTTTGGCAGACCTTCTCATTTGAAAATCAGCACATGTAGAGCATACTTATCGCCAGAGGTTAAAATTGTTACTTGAAAAGTTGCTTTCCGTGGTTACAAGCCCTTAGCATCATGCCGTCATGCAGAAAACCTGAAAACACGCGATCACGGCATTGTCCGCCTGTGATGATAACAGCCGCCGAGGCCTTCAAATCTTAGCACTGATCGAGACGTTCGTTTCTCGAGCTAAGAGTAATGGATCGATGTCAGGATCTGAGGAACTATGCACCTACCCCTCCCTAACACAACAACAGTCAACTGATGACAAGTTGGGGTTAATGTTTGGTTAGGGGAGGGGTAGGTGGGTAGTTGCTCAGATATTGGCATTGACCCGGTATTGACATAGACATTGATTACTAACAACGCCATATGACTTGTAGGTACTGTTTCATGGACCAAAGATTGACTTATTTGTGAAGTAAAATTGTGAACTCCAGCATCCTCGGTGAAAATCGTCCCCAATTAAACAGTCAGTTTCGAACAAATGTGAACAGGCAAATTGCGCATGTTACAGGGGCATAGTAGCGGGTATTTTCTTGGAGTATTCACCGAGGGAGTGAAAGCTAATTAAACGACAGCGAATGTCTATAGCAAAATCGAAGATAACAGCAGGTGCTGATTTTCAAAAGGTCAAGAGAATAAAGGAAATGATCACTAGCTAATGAAGCTCTTGATTTTTTAACAGCTTCTCTCTGTCAGCACCTTTGGAAATACACTGATAACAGTATAGAGAATATACATAGTGATGTTGGGCTGCAAAAGGTTAAAAGTCAAGTCTTCCGCCCCAGTCCCTTTGGCCATTTTTCCGTACGCTTTCCGCGTTATAATAGAAGGTGCTGTGGAGGGAACAAGTGGCAGTGTGTGGATTTCAAGAAACGAAATTGGAATGTCAAATTTATTAGTTTTCTCTCTACATCTTATTCATTTGAACGTCTAAGAAATATAACCTCTTATTTGGACAATCTTCTCATTAAAACAACTTTTTAAAAGTCTCCCCCTTAATGAAGATAATTTCTGTTCTTGAAAAACAAACTTGTGCGTTTCAGTGGAACAGTTCGTTTAACTAAACGAAAGACTAACTAACTTCTGTTACAAAATTTTAAATTAATTTTTATATTTTGTTATTAAAAAATAATTTACTCTAGTGAAGGATAATATTAAAACATAACTAAGAAATAAACAAACCAACATATGAACAACGAGTAGCAATGATGATGATGATGAGTTCTTAATCCATGGTTGGTCTAACCGAGTTAGCTCTGAAAGGCTGTGGTCGATCACGTGGTATCCAGTCGGATTGTGCGCAGTTTGTTTTGATATGCCAGGATGCAGGCTGCTTCATTGGACCCCCCACAGTATTGCGACGACGAGAACACGGTCAGCAGTTTGCCATTCTGTTGAACCTTCGCGTCAATGAAAACGAGAAAGTTAGAGTAAAGATGTTGTCAGTAGTTTTACCTTCATTCCCACGATTAGCTCACGTTTAGCAGCTTTTATCTCTCTATCGTTAAGCCTAGAGTGAACAGTGGACATTTTTTAATCTACCGGCTGTTATAAGCAATGTTGTCCCAGTAAAGATTTGGCAGTATACAAGAGAAGTAGTATCACTTGAGAACCAAGCGTGAACGGAACTCAAATGTCATGGAACCGTGAATAATTTTAATTAGTCCCAATCTCGAGTAAACGCTTTCTGTTGAGCATTCGTTGAATAAAATTTGGCCAGAATATGGAGTATAGAAAGAAGTCTAATTTGAAATTTGAAGCTTCTTGAAGTGAAGAGAGGTGGGAGGGGGGGGGCGGGGGCGGGGGTGTTAATAGAAAAATTTAGCGGAACGGCTTCAGTTTTAGCTAAAACCGTGGCCCCCAATGTATTTTTCCCACCTTGCCCAAAAAATGTTGAAATTTTTCACAACTTCGCCTGTTCCTGTTCGTAGGTCCGGCCAAGCCTTTATGGTCATTGGCCCCGTATAGCCGCTATGGCTTGTAAATACAGGCGTTTAATTTTAACTTGTAAAACTCCTTGAAGAAGTCTACGACAATTAGACGAAACTACTGTTTGCAAAGTGCTGCTCACTAGTTCAGTTTTAAGAAATTAATTAAAAAATAATTAATTCAAGAAATGATTTTAAGAAAAATTATTCCAAAAAAATTAAAAATTATTTTAAAAAAATCATTTAAGAAATGATTTTAAAAATTATTAAAAAAATTTTTTAATGAAAAATCTTTTAAAAAGATAATTAAAAAAATTGTTTAAAAAATCATTTTAAAAAAGTGTTTAAAAATTATTAGAAAAATTAATTTAAAAAAATTAAAAATAATTGTAAAAAAAATTAAAAATTAAAAATAATTAAACGTTTTTAGAAATAAGTAAAAAACTTATTAAAAAACATAAAAAAAAAATGTAAAAAAATTGATTAAAAAAATAATTTAAGAAAGTGTCAATAACCATGATTGTTAACCTTATTGTATTCACTCGAAACTTTCAGAACCACAGAATTGGCCAATGATAACAAATAGAGCATTGAAACGGAGCGCTGCGGCATTGATTGAAATGAGACCAAAAACAAAATATGTTAAAAAACATGAAATCAGAACGAAGGAAAATATACCAGTTGTGAGAACTGGCGTGAATAGGTATACACCAAGATACGGTTGGTTGTATATTTACATCTAATAAAGTGGCACAATGTTTTCAATCGAATCACCGAGTGTGATCATCCCAGTTTTCTTTCGACATTCGAGAGACAATTGCTCTGCATACCACTTGGGACTGTTATTGGTCGACCAGGCAGAGCACGTGAAAATTACCTCACTTCATTTTAACCCTCTAACTCCTACAAGTAATTGGCTTCTAATTTCTCCTCACAGCATGAGAACAATAGAGAGGATTTCCGATTCAGAAGGTCCTGATTGTCTGACAAATTCTCCTTGTCTTTACCATAGAAAATGTAGAGAACACAGTGTGGAGAATATTAATGTTAGGGTGTAAAGGGCTAAACCGTTTGCTTTGTTATTTACATATCAAATGACGCTAAAGTGATATTAACAGACCTGAAAGCCAGCTTGCTGTACTTCATGCGCTCTGATCACGTGAGTGAGATGGTTCCTCTTCAAGAAAGCATCCAAGGCGTCCGCGCTGCAAAATAAACAAAAGCGGACGGGTGGTACAGTTCGGGTAACCTCGCTTTCACACCGAGGCAGTATGAAGACTCAACTGTAGTTTTGAGTGTCTCGAGTGTTTATCATATCTCTCAGTTAGTTCGTGCGCTAGGATTGGTCAATAGAGGGTTATATTTCACTGTACGAACCGCTGAATTAAAAATGTTGTTTGAATTGAAATCTTCCTCCATTCATTTAAACCCATAGATATGACAAATATTTTACTACACCAGTTTTGTCCGCTAGTAAGAGGTATGTCAGCTTTTGACACTGTTTACGGTGGCCGATTCAAATTATCAGTTGATAAAATAATTTATTTCGTAACACCCCCCTTCCTGACGCAGCACCACAGTTTCTTTACAAACTTACCCCTTTATATGAGGGATCGCCTGGAGCGGTGATAATAACGAAATATGTGGATTTGCAGACCAATCAGATTGTTAGAAACTTGTACAATTGAATCAACGCTAGAGATTTTTGGTTTTTAATTAAAAACTGGATAATTGGATAATTTGATTCAAGAGTTTCATTGGCCTAGCCATCATTGGTTATGAGCCATCATACCATGCTCTCTAAATATGGTAAGTCTATGCATCAGCTAAAAATTAAATTGGAAAAAAATTTGTACTTACATAATAAAGTTGGGAAGACTTAACAATATTTTGGGGCGTTTTTGGTTAAGCAATCATTCCACGAGCGCTTATTGGATATGAGATGGTTATAGCCAACTCGGTCCTACGAGCCTCGTTGGCTATCTATCATTTGGCGTTCAAAGCGTACTCGTGAAATAATAAATTGATGATTTCTTGATCAACGCCAGCCCGAGTGATATATCCCAACTCCCCATCGTTTCCTTAACATAACGACAAGAAAAGGTCCATCCTACCTAAACAAGTAAGCAGTACCTCGCCTGCTATTGGCTGTGAATCCCTCGTTTTGTTTGAGTTTCTCCAAAATGTCGGGAGTCACATCTTCTGCCCTGTAACAGTGATGATTTTAATCACACAAAATCTACTCCAATAACTGACCGGACTTTGAATTAAACTACGTGTAAGATTTTCTTACTTCTAATGTTTCACACTACCTGACCGCACTCTACTGCTGCTTCTCTGGGGTCCATTAATTGCAAAGTTAACGCAAAATACGTCTTTAAAAAACAAACAAACAAAGATCGGCCTCCTATCTGGCGAAAGGTGATTCCTCCAAATTTTTCTTGCAAAGTGAGGTTAGTTTAGATTGGGTAAGATTACCGGAAGTGGATGAGACAGCGAAACAGGAGCTTGGAGGTTTACAAACGGAAAGTAGTGTCACTTTCGAGAAGGAAGGGAAGGAAAAAAAGGGAAACTCCAAAAATTGGAGTTTATTTGATACATTCTGCTGCAATTGCTTCCAAAAATGTAAGACTTAAGGCATCCTTTTACAAATAAAGGCTGTATTTTACCACTGGGAATTTAATCCACAATGTTTAGTGAAAATAATGTCGTTTTCATGACAACACATCAGCAATCTTGTCATTCTAAATGCGTCAAGTGTTATTTTCGAAGCTTTCAGCGATAAAGTAATAACAATAAGTGGGTGTGAGTTGAATCACATTACGTCACAAAAAGCCTTTCCTATCTGCATAAAAAAGAAATCAGCCAAGGGCGAACTAATACCGGCTCCAAGCATAAGAACAATACTGTTATCACATTTGAAAGTCATTTGAACAAAAGCCGCTCACTTGAATATAAAGACGAACGAATAAATCTGAGCAAAAGAGGGGATTAACCTTCTTCTTTTCACGATCGCTTTAAAAGTAATTTCAAGGATTAAATGTCCCTTCCATTTGTCCCAAACGTTTACACAAATGCACGCACGACGTTATATGAGGTGAACAAAACAAACTGAAAAGACAACAAAGCTGACACGTACAAAGCTCATTTGAAAGTTAATTTTTGCGGAAAGAAAATTTATGTTAACATTAAACTGTGATCACTGATGCAGAGAGCCTAAGGACGCTTCAGCCGCATAGGAAGCGTCGAGAAAGTTTAGTTCTTTAAATGAATCCTAGGTCCCGTTGTTTTAGTTCTTTAAGTTCCTCCTGTCGTAGTTGTCGGAGAAAACAGCTATAAAAGGGAATGTGCGCAAGAAATGAGCGAAATTAAGGAATGTGCTTAACTTCAAACTGTTGTTATATAATTGATGGTTTGATTCAGTGACCAAATACTGCAACACCAAACAACGAATTTAAGGATTTCATGTCCTTCTTTCAACCGAAATCTAACAGCTGGCCTTGAGAAACTTTGTCAGGATTTTTGTATTGGATTTTTGTATTGGAATTCAACATGAGTTGCATCAACTTTTTGAAACTTCTGCTTCGTTCACGAAAGGACGATCTAACGGGAGATGACACGCTTTTCAACCGGTGTTTGACAGTACTGGATGTGATTCTATTAGGAATGGGATCCATGCTTGGGCCAGGTCTGTACGTAGCCACAGGACAAATCGCTCGAGATACAGCAGGACCAGCCATTGTCATTTCTCTTGTGATCGCGGCGTTCCCGGCGATTTTGTCTTCGCTCTGTTATGCCGAATTTGCCGCTCGCGTGTCGAAAACAGGATCCTCGTATGTTTATACATACCTTGCTCTGGGAGAGATATGGGCTTTTATAATTGGTTGGAATCTAATTTTAGAAAACGTTCTTGCAAGCGCTCTGCTGGCAAATGAATTCAGCAAATTTCTAAACTCCATTAGCGGGAAAAAAATTTCAAAATTCATGACTGAAAACGTTGCTCAGTGGAGCGTGGCAGGATTTCAACCATATCCAGATTTCATAGCATTTTTAGTCGTTATTGTATTCACCGTCGTAGCTGCTACAGGGCCGCGAAAACCAGCCCTTTTCATGCGATTTGCGACTATGATCAATTTGCTGGTGGTCCTATTTATTGTACTCTCAGGATTTTACTTCATGGACACTACCAATTGGGAGACACTTGACAAATTCGCACCTTTTGGCTTCGATGGAATCATGGCTGGTGCGTCTATTTCCTACTTTGCGTTTCTTGGTTTTGATATCATCAATTCTGCCAGCGAAGAGACTGACAATCCACTAAGAGTTGTTCCGTTTGCCAATTCTGTTAGCACGTATATTGGGGTTTTCATATACCTCATCACTGCAGCAGTTCTGACGTTAATCATTCCCTACAATAAACTTAGTTTCAACAGCCCTCTAACAGAGGCATTTGGTTACACAGGTTCCGAAGTTGGAAAATACTTTGTTGCTATTGGAGGATTCTTCGGAATGACAACCGCTCTGCTCACTTTTAATTATGCAGGAACTCGTCTTATTTACGCCATGGCCAATGACGGACTTTTGTTTCAAAGTTTAGCAAAGGTTAGTGACAGAACTCGAGTTCCAATTAGAGCTGGATTAATTTTCGGCTTCAGTGCAGCAGTAATAGCACTCTTCCTAAACCTAAACGACTTAGTTGAGATGATGTCTATTGGAACACTCATGGCGTACACCGCTGTGTCCTTGGCTGTCCTTCTAGAGCGATACCGACCGATGTCTTGGTCAGAATTTCCAACAAACGGAGAAGATTACGACACGAATGAAGACGAACCCTCTTCTTGCTGTGGGAAGCTTCGCGAGGGAATGAAGAAACAAATCTCAGCTGCGCGAGAGATCAAAACCAAATTGAGTGCCAAGTTTGGTGACAAACCCACCAAGGACACTCATCGAGTTGCTGGAATTGCTGCGGCGTGCCTCGTATTTGCGGGTTATGGGTTCTCTTTGACCGTCTCTCCAGCAAGCGGCTTGCCTCATGTGGCCGAGAAGAATCCTATTATCATATTCGCCTCTTGCCTAATGGCCACTGTCGTCATCTTCGCCTTGGCAGTATTGTTCTTGTTACCAACAGAGGAGTTTAGGATTGCTCATGCAGTGCAATGTACTCCGTTCGTTCCTCTGACCAGTATCTTGACCAATATTTACTTACTGACTAATTTGTCCCGTTGGACCTGGGCTCGAGTAGCTACCTGGATGTTTATTGGTGAGTATGTTGTAGAGTATTACCACTGAGTGTTGTAAACTAAAACCAAATTTGAGGCACTCTGCAACTGAGTGCCGACACTAATCCAGGATTACAGCGATTACACCTCGCTGTGTCATTTCTTACTGACATAACAAACTCGAGCTACCCACAAAACCAATCAGTTAAAAGACTTACCACAATAACAAGTGGGTAACTCGCGTTTTTCCGAGATATAGTTCGTTTGCAATCTATTTACTCTAGGATATCACTCGCCGTCTTTGCTATATCTGGATTTTTCCTCTGTCCCATAGTACACACAGTTTTAACACTTTTAGCCACGAATTCATTCGTTCGGCATTTAAGAGCTAACCCGCTATACCTCAAGGGGCTTTAAATGACACTATTGTGCTTGATTAAAACCTACTCACTGTCAGTATTTTTTGTCTCTGAAGGTATGGCTATTTACTTCATGTATGGCATTCACAATAGCAAAGTAGATTTCACAAAATATGACGTTTCACGTGATTTTCTGGACCGGCTTATTCCGTCAGCACGTGACAAACACGTCCGCACCTGGACACCAAGCAGTGAAGAAGGACCCATGTCACCCAGTAGTGACAGTGAAAACGATGAAGGGTTTCAGTCCAACTTAATGACAAGTGAAGATGAGTCTCCTAAGCACGCAGTTCTTCACAAAGAAAAGAATAAGGCCACAAATACAGCAACCGGACCAGCTGAACGATACCGTTAAGACGCCTCTTCTTTTTGACACTTAAATGACCTTTTGCTTCTCTTCTCGCCATGGATACGTCATCGGTACATTTACATTGAATTTACATATTCATCATCAGAACAAACTCGTAGATAATATTAGAGAAGGTAAATTTTCTTAGAGCAGACTTTTCTTTTCACTCTTTTCCTCGACAAGTGTGTTCGTCAAGAGCAAATTTGACTAAAAAGGCTACAAGTATATCAGTTTGAGCTGAAGAGGACTTGTGCGCACTGTAAAATAGGTTAAACTTTTCCAAGAAAGAAAAGTCGAGGAAAATATGCCTGGGTCAATTTTGGCTTAATACAAAACCTGACTGAGGGATCATGCAATCGGATAACTGCACCTTCAAAAATGCAGCTGGACTTTTTCAAATCTCTACGTTTGTAATATGCGCCACTTTATCCAATCTTCCTCGAGGTGATACATTAGCTCCTTAATGTTTGTAGATTTTAACATAATTATTTGCAAGTTCGCTAGTATCACGTAAATCCATCTATGAAAACAAACAGAGAAATCGGGAAAGCCTTTTTTTATCGCCCTTTTGAGAAGGAGCGAATCAAATATTTTGGAATTATTGAAACAATTCATATTTTATTTTCCATACGAGTGTTAACTTACAAAAAAAAGCTAAGTTGTTATTTATATAAAACCTTCCACTTTCGAGAATGACGCAACCAAACTGTTATTTCTACAATCTTTCAAGTATGTTACATATTTAAAATTGGAGATATTTTTGATGACTATTTCTCAATTCTCACCACATGCTTATCAGTGATACTGCATGGAGAATTACCATGTTGATCACTTCATGATTCATAATGTTGAGAATGCAATTATTATAGTCTTTGAAAATAAAATGTGTTCTGTGCGATAGATATTTAGAATCTTACTATGCGTTTGAAAACAACGCCAAATGTAGTTTATTGCAGGCTCTCCTTCAATAGCAACGGTCGAAATTGCAGGGAACGAAAAAATGGAGAAGGTTTAGGAAAAAAGGATCCCGTTTGTTCTTTCCTTTGTTCATCCCGTGACAAGAAGTCATTCTGGCCACAAAATGCTTCTGACCGACTCCTTGCTATAACTCAGGGATTTCATCGAAATCCGGTTACTGTCCGTCCACCGCCGCCTACACGACCCCTTACCGCCGTTTGATGTTTAGCTTACGAGAATGCTCTCTCGTTTGGGTTTCACCTTAAGGCCCCATTTCTGGGCACAGCCGCCTAGTACAGCATCGGCAGCTGCCTATGGAAACAGTTATTGAAGCTTCTATATTTACCACATGATTGTCAAAAGGAGGATATCGGGGTCAGTGCATGCATATTTATAATGAATCATGTAAACGTACGAACGAAGGTACCAAGAGGAACTTTTTTCGCAGCCGGCAGAGTCCTCTCCCCCTAGAAGGACACCTTCAAAGAGCAGACACCTGTGACGGAATACTGTTGAAAGTATACAGGCATGCCTGATTACCGGGCCACATCTAGAAGCGGCGAACATACACACCTGCACATGAACTAATCCCAATGAGCGCGCTGCCAATGATCTAATAATAACAATATGCGCACTCAGTTTTTTACGTGGCTTTCGAACATGTAACTGCTCGGTTTATTCTTGAATATTAAATTAAGCCTTTTAACCTTAACACATCATTACAACACCGAATATGGCCAGTGCCGTTGTTAGTCAGAATACTACAATTCAATTCTATAAGACTCCTCCAAAACCGGACCACAAACACCTTTACACGTCACTGAACTCTTGAGAAGTGCCGCGAAGTGTTACATATAATAGAACATTACGATTTGAGGAAGTAAAATTCCGATACGACATTTTTCCCAGTTGATAAATTTTCTTTAGTAAATTAAGTAAAACAGACAAAAAACAGACGTGTATTAATTGTTTACATGTTCCGCCTTTTCATTTGAGAACCATTGTGTTACGTTACCTCGACTCTCGTAAAGCTGGATATATCCCGTAGACGGATACTTAAGATCGGTCCCGACGGTGGCTTTCCCACAGAGATTTGACTGCATCACGACTCACTTGTTTTCATGAAATAGGAAACTCTTTAATCGAATATGGAAAGTGATCCGAGATTCCAATAATTTTGATTCAGTTTGTTGTAAGATCGTGAATACTCGCGCATTCCTTTCAGCCAATCAGAGGCACAACTGAAACCCATCGCTACTTGTTCACTTGTGTTTCTCGCGCTTGCGATTTCGACTTCTCATTGGCTACTTGCAACATCAGCCCTTGTTTTAATTGGCCGTTGTAATTACTTAGCCTTCCGTTAATGAAACTCAATCGGAAAGTTCTCTCCTATGCAGTTTCTCGGGGTAAAAAAAGCGTTATCGAAGCAGTCTTTATTTCTACTTTATTCAACAATCTATTCTTTGTAATTAGTACAATGTCAGTTAGCGAAGTAAGTACCTTAAAGGATCTCCCCACATAAGTTCCCAGGCCAGCTCACTTTGTTTTTCAGGCTCAGGTAGAACACCAGGGATGTTGTCTATAGATGATACAAGCCCGCCCCCTTGACTGGGCAACGGAATACCCCCATGGACACAGAAGATCTGTGAATACAAACAGCAAGGGTGTTTTACGGAAATTTCTCGACAAACGAAAAGAGAAACACGACCAATCGTCGGGTAAGGTTTGTGGTAATGGAGCAAATACAGGCGAAGTAAATAGAAACATATGATTTAACAATGCTGGTAAAATGCAATCAGGGGTTGCTGTGAATAATTGCGCTTGATCCTCGCTACGATTTCTAACAGCTAACATAAAGATAATATCGTTCTGGAGTATTTCTCATTACCATTACATTTTCGACTGCTTTGAAAAACAAAAAGGTGATTAAAGATCACGTAACATCTAATTTCATGATGCCTGAGGGGCAATTCTATTACTGATGAAACAAAACATATTGCTCCCCAAAAATTACTTAATACTAGAGAGCTATTAACCGGGAAGTTTGGACCAGTATCCTCTTATTTTTCAAGCCATGGATCAATCAGAATCAACGTAAGATCATCAAATGACGTAGGTGGGTGTAAGCTGGATTTTTAAACGAGGGGAAGGGGTACAAATCTACGCCTTTTTCGATTTTTGGATTATTTCAGGTTGTATTATTATCAAAAGTTGATACTTCTTACACCGAGGAGGGGTACCACCCACCCTCCCCACCCTCAGCCTCCTTTCTGCTACGCTCTTGTTCAGGTTTTTTTACCTTGTTGTCTACAATTGCAGCCAGCGGTAAAACATCAAAGACAGCATTAACTGCTTCCCAGACCTCTTCGCCAAGAGCAGGACCAAACTTTTGTAGACACTCACTGCGTCGGTAAGGGCAACAAAAGAAATTGGTGAGAATTGAAAAAATTTCCACTTCGTAAAAGCGCGAGGTACTATGCCAAAAGAAATTATATATAATGGTTTATCACATTGAAAGACTGCTGCTGAAGTAACCTTCATAACATGACCCGTGGGACCCTCGTGCGCTTTTTCGTAAAACAAAAAAGATATTACGAAATCCCCACATGAAAGCTGTGAAAGCCGTACGTGATGGCGCTAATAGGGTAATAGGGCCCAGGAAAACCTTACGGCCTTAACAGATGCAAGTTGAAATAATAAAGGAGAAAAGAGTAGCAGTCATTTGATAGAACGTTTACTGACTGAGTCAGGTTTGACCGGTAGGGAAAATAGTTGACTTGGGATCATGACGTTTTCCCGTCCGTTCCTCCCACCTCAAAACTCGCAAGAGGCCCAGGAAGGTCTTCGTTAAGGGCTCAATTCAAAATTCACGAAAACAACCTTGTTTTAATCGCTCCTGCGAAGGGCTAACGCTCGAAACGTCAGCTTCTAAACTCTTTATGGTGGTAATTTACGTTATCAACTCAGCTGATAAGACTAAATTACCCTGTTATACTCTCCCACCGTCGCAGCACCACAGTTTCTTAAGAACTTCCCCCCTAATACGCGTATGTTCCTTCCCTGGTTTAGAACCGAGGCTCCGTCTCAACTGAGGTAATGATTTGATGTTTGTGATACCAACATTAACTTCAACAAACCTGTGAAAAGTGAACATTTTCTGAATGTCTCTAATCTCGTGGTTCCCTCGGATCAGGACAAATTTCGATGGGGCTAACACCTTCTGAGCAAAGAGGTATGAGATAACCTGCCAAGAACGCCGGACATGAACAGATTTTATACATTGGAGAGTGAAACAATGATTTTACTTGAGTTTCAATGACTTGGGTGTGGATTTGTTGTAAACGGTGAAGTAAGTCCCCCGAATAAACGGTTATAGTCATTCATAACCTCTTTATGCTTTTGATTAAGTATCTATCATCAACTGGCCCCAACTGTTTAAAAAAAGGGAAAGACAAGTGATGCAGCTAGGAGAGGTTAATCATTGATGTCAATCAATTGGACAAAGGAAGACTGAACAGACTCGAGGAAATGGAGCTTAATAATGAGTCAGTCAGTCAGCCAGTCGGTTAGTGAGTAAGATGAACAGTCAGTCAGTCAATCAGCCACGCAGTCGGTGAGTAAGATGAACAGTCAGTCCGTCGGCCAGTCGGTCGGTCGATCAATAAGATAAGCCGCAGTTGGTGAGTCAGCCAACCGAACAGGATGCGGACAGGTTAGTTACTTCAACAAAATCCAGTGCTCTAATGCTAAGGTTGTTGTTCTAACGTGTGGTTGAAAATTAATCAAAGTCAAATTATTATCAAACCGTCTTACAGAAAAAATTGAGAAAAAATTGGGGAATACTAAGACTACACCACCAAAAAATAAGAATTGTACCTCTACTCCATTCTCCCCTCGATCGACATAGTCCCCCAGGAACATGAAACTAGCTGGTGTTAGAACGGGGCCCATACGCCAAAGAACCTTCTCAAAACACACCAAATCACGAAAATTACCATGAAGATCACCTGAAGATCAAACATCGCACTTGTATGAAAAGTAAAATGAAATCAAACAGTAACAAGTTACACATCATTTCAAAAATGCTGTAAACCTGCATAACTGGTGGTTTCTGTGCGCTATGTACCGTTCGGCAGCGGAGCAGCGAAGCCACTTGAGGTATAGGACGGAAAAAAAATCCTTGTTTGTTTTCTCTGCTCCGTAACCTTCGCTTTCATAAAACATCAAAGCATCAAAAACCCCGCCAGCTACCCAAGCTTACTGCTCATTACTAACGACCAGCCAGAAAAAAAGAAAATATAACAAGTAGTCTATAACATCACAAAGAGAAAACACAAAAACGTCCTGTAGCACCGGAAAATACGAGTGACCAAGTCGCACTTGGTTTTAGTTTTGCATCTAATTTGTTAACAAGGTCGCGTGAAATCTCCACACCAACCATAGAGCGCAAACATTCAACCAAATTATGGAGTAATGCTGGTTATCCTTCGACATAGTTTTAATTTTTATTCGACAGTGCATCTCAAGCTATAGCTTTTCTCCAAATTTAAAAAGATCTTTCATCTCTACCTAGCATTTTCTAAAGTGCAAAACGGCGTTAACCAACCTTAATTGAAAAAAAAAACTTAGCAAAGGGCTTGTCTAAGACGAACACCGCACAAAAAAAAGCTTCCAAGACAGTGTAAATGCATTTTCCGACCAAAACGAAAATTATCACAAGTCAGACACATCCAAAAACTCACCATCAATCTACCCTTTATAAACTCACCGACTACGTAGGTGGGGGACTGGACTCTGATAAGCCGAGGTTCCTTTTTTATTATCTCCAGCAGAGTTCGACAGATACACAACAAACAGTTCCCCAAGGAAGGCATTTCCACCAAACCCCAGTTAAAACTTTCCTTGGATGTATCTGCTGACTTTATTGCACGCTCAAAGTACCTTAGGGCGGATAGCATTTGATTGGCATCTGATTGCTGAATGGTTATAAATCAAACAAACGGATTACTTCCGTGTTTACCTTTCAATATTGTTGCACTTGTCTCCCCACTAACTCTTCAACTTCTAAGAGTGACTAGTATCTAATTTCTCCTTACTCTCTCATCCCTGAATCAAACATTAGGGTCACAAGAATAATGGAAATGATCACCAACTAAAGAAGCTCTTGATTGTTAAACAAATTCTCCTTGTCAGCTCCTTAGGGGATGTATGTGAGACAGTATGGAGAATATGCATACTGATGTTAGAGTGTAAAGGGTAAAGAAATCTCTGTTACAATATGTTAAATGAAGAAAAAAATATTTGAAATCTGTTTGTTGATAATCTATTGCAATTTTATGGCAGTGAAGATAGCAGCCCGTGATCGTTAGCCGTTTTTTTGCCCGCCTTGCAATTGGTCTGGAATTCTCGCGCCATTCTGTAAAACAGATACATGATGGTAATTGAACTGAGTGGAGTGCAATTTGGGCTGAAATCATAGGCGTGTAATAATGAACTAAAATCAAGTAAGACTTGGTCATTCATTATCTCTCGCGCTTCAGGTAGTCTGCCTATTTTCACCCTAAAATCCCACTGGCTCTTCAGATATTTTCATCTGAACGACCTTTGTAATAACTTTGATTTAAGTAGCGCCCGAAAAAAAATCTGGCAAGCATCGGTTTGAATCTCGTCGAATCATTTTCAGGCTTCCTTTCTGCAATTAAAAAATTGCAGTCCACCTGCGAGATAGCTTTTATGCACAACTTTGACACAAGACACTACATCAAAATGCACTTTATTTCACAGACTTCAATGATGAATATCACACACCTTGTTGAAGCAGTTGATTGAAGGCAGCCGCGCAATCTTGAGTTTATTAGTTTGCAGTTCACTCTGAGCACTCCCCGATACCATGGCGGTGTTTTTCATATCCCACATTACACTGACGTCACTCAGCATTCCACTTCGACGCACCTTGACCGTGTGAGTGGCAAGTTCGTATTGAATATCTGTTACAGCTCTTTAAGTAAACAAATGGCACCAATCAACCTTTACCTCCATCCCTTGTGTCCCTAACTAATTGTTTTCGCCTAACAACTGCTCTGTGTGCTTTTAGTTCAAGTAACGTGGTCGCTGTGGCTCAGGAAATGATTTTCAAAGTGTTCTTGTTTAACATTTACAGCAATAAGTAATCTAGTGAATTCTTTTGATGTTTAAACTATTTTGAGAGTTGAAGACGTCCAAACATTTTTCTTTATCTTTTCGAGTACTTTTTCTTCTTTCATGTATCCCATTATAGAGCAATTTTCGATAGAATTTCGAAAGTAGTTAATCCGAAATTGCATTAGTTTTACTTTATTTCGGTCTGTGATCAGTTCAAAAACCTCGCATCACTCTCTCCACCAATCAGATGCAAAACTGAGTTCTCATTGGCTCTGTAGGATATTTCCTCTATTCTGATTGGCCGTTGCGATTATTTTCATTTTGGTTTAACGAGACTCAATTGAAAAGGGCTTCATATTAGAAAGTAAATATTCCAAAGTACAAAATAGGTTTGCATCTAATTTACAAAGATTACACACCCAAATGTCAAGTTATTTCCTTGAAATTCCATGCTGTCGTCCATTTCCTCACTCCTTCTCTTCTTCACTGGAGATTGGGATCTGTTTTGCATGTAAACCAATCATATCAAAATTCAAACTGTACAGAAAATTGAGCACATCTCGTCTCTTAGAATATAAGAAATGAAGACTGATCAAGACTCAATAATCGAAAGTGATGTCTGATTCAAAAAAAAGAATGTTTATTCTGGCAGAAAGCACTGGGTTACAGTAACTGGGCAAAACTAATACCAACGATAATTACTCATCCTCAAAATTTGTATACCTGGTGGTCACCGATGTCCTCTCCTGAGTAAGGCTTTCATACATTTCATCTTGAGCAAGTTTAATGATTGACACAGGCAGACGTAACAGCACAGATGTCCCACGGAATCTAAGATTACCCACAGCTTCTAAAAAATCCACTAAGAATAGTTTGTCTGAAGGTCCTGATCCAAACATTCTGAATTTATGCAAAAACACAAATAAAAAATAGAAACCCCTTAGAACTAAGGTAGAAATTTTCATAAATCACTCTGTACTCCAGATCCAGATAAAAGATTACTTCTTGGTCAGCTAAGCCCTCTGTAAGCTGTAAGTAAAGTCCTTGGTCATGCACCCACACATAATTTTTTTTTTTAAGATGCAGTGAGTATTTTGTCATTCTACCAACCAAATTAAATCCAAGAGAAGAAACCAGAAAAAGTAAGGTGATCAAAACTGAGGTGGCTTACAATCTACAAGGTTGGTTCAAGTTTGTACAATGTATAATGCAAGGATATCCAACCAGAGTGATGTATCCCTTTAAACTTATGGTATAGAAAGAGTTTAATAAAAGTACTTATTTGTGAATGGAACGAGGGAAAGAAGGAGTAATCTACCTTAATTATTCCAACATTTTTATCAGTCTACATTAGCTTGTGAAAAAACTATTCCCCCAACAATGACATTGACAGTTTAGGAATTCAATTCAGTTAAGCAGCTAAGCCATTATGTTAAGAATAGCTTTACATACTTAGCTTTAATTCTGGCTTCTTTTAAAACAACATCCTCTTTGGCACTTCCTTTTTTCAACAGCTGAATATCTTTTACCATAGACCTGTGATGTGAAAATGACATCATACCTCTGATGAACATTTTGGTATGATGCAAGTGATATAATTATTGTCTATAATTTTGCAGCACATAGCCAAATAAATCAGTTTTTCAGTTAATAAATTAGTTTTCATGTCTACCTTATTTATCACAGTTTCCTCTAATATTCCTGGCCTAAACTCTGTGAAAGGTTTCATTTGGGTCTACATTAATTTTGAACTCCAAGACTTGTGCAAGTAATTTTGACTTAAGCTTAATTGACCTCTAAGAGTGCCTAGCATCTTATTTCTCCAGACAATCATCCCTGAATCAAACATTAACCTCAAAAGAATAAAGGAAATGATCACTAACTAAAGAAGATCTTAATTTTTAAACAAATTCTCCTTGTCAGCACCTTAAGATGAAATGCATAGAGATCAGTATGGAGAATATGCATATGATATATGTTAGGGCGTAAGGGATTAAGATCCACTTTTTAGCTTTAATTACTATTTTTAGGGGTGTAACTTAATCTAAAGCTACTGCATTTAGTTCTTACAACCACAGTCTTCATTTTCTAGTTCTACATAGTCAAACTGTACATCTGGTTGGCCTCTTAGTATGATGAGTAAGAGAAAAATCAAGAGGAAAATTCTGGGCAGGATAGCTCAGATGACCATGGCTGCACTCTATGGATAGGAGGCTACTTCATCAGGCTTTGATTGACAGAAGTATAAAGAAAGAAATTTGAGTCAGTCATTGAGTGACCATTAAATTTTTGGTTACATAGGAGGATTTAACCATACTTAGGCCATGATAGTCCCTCAAAACCATCTTAAGACAGTCAAGCAGTACTAAAAGAACTACTCACTTGAATCCTTCAAAGGAGAGACAAGATTCTTGCTCAGCAGAATAACACCTGAATATATACCGACAACGTAACTCCCCAGATGGCCCCCCATGAGGTGTGGAGGGATCCATGGCTGCCACTCCAGAGAGCACTTCTTGATATGTCAATTGCCCATGATTGTTCCAGTCAAATGCCCTGAATATCAAAGATAAAAATGCTGTCAGTGAAAAAATTTTTAACTGTCACAACAAAAGACTCAGGTAACAAGGACTTAAATGTATGGGCAGTGTAGATTTGATTCAAAACCTCTTCTATTTGACTCAAATGTTGATTAGTTAAATTGAAAAAACTCATTTACAAACTTGTATGTGCAAGCAATTTGAAGCTATTTTAGATTAAGTGATAAATCTTAGATACATATGTGTTCAAAATTATGAAAAATTGGAGCATTAAAGGGAGAAAGTCATGAGGAGCTAATGAAAAGTTAAAGTACATGTGACATTTCAAACTAGGGAATTAACCTAGAGTGTGAGGGATTTATTCACCACTTTGGTAGTATTAATTTGCATCTCAATTTTGTTTGTATAGGGTGAAACAAACCCAAACACACTGGAATCACTTTCAAGAAAAGCTTTCACTTGCCACAACATGATTTTACAATCTCAATCTCCTTTTACCTGAATAAGTCTTTGAGTCCTGCTGTCACTCCAAGCTCTTTCATAAGCAAAGAAAATCCTTCAAACTTTATTTCCTTAAGTCCATCACAATACTTATCAAATTTTCTTTGGAGGAATTCTTTTTCTGCAGAGCAAGTACAAAATATTGAGAAGTGCATTTTGTTTCAAACCACAGTATTATGAATTTATTGACTGAGTGGGAGGACAGGGAGGGGAAAAATTTAGCTCAATGTCCCTGTCAATCGACCTTCCTGGGCCTTGTTTATAATTCATGACTAAGAATAAAATACAAAGATAGAAAGAAAATAGTTTTTCTGTCTCATCACCTGCCTGGGACATAGAAAAAATTCTGAGTTCCCAAGAGGATTGAACCTCAGACCTTTGGATTCCCTGTTCTATTTACAAACATGACGCTATCAACATTGCTGATCCTAGCAGCATGCAGGACACATGTCATGTGAACTTTGTACATGGTCTCGCTCAGCATGGAGTCTCTTTGGCTCAGTGGTGGAGCATCAGAGTGCAGAATCCAAAGGTTTGAGGTTCAATCTGCCATGAGGACCCAGAATTTTTTCTTTGTCCCACACATGTGAATAGACCAAAAAAGCATCTTTCTCTATTTCTATACCGAGCTCAAAACTTACTATCTCTCTTATTCTTTTAAAATAAAAATATATTTTCCCACCCAAGCCGGGATGTACTGGATAGAATTACTGAATCTGCAGTAGCACCATCTGAAAGTCCTGAGCCTTTGAGCTCCTTTATTCTTCAATTAAAACATTGCTGGTCTTGCAATACTTCCAGTTGCATTAGATATTGCAGGTAGAATTATTGTGAACTGGTTTGCAAACCTTTTTTTGCTGGAAATTGAATCCACAAACAAGACTTATCGAAACACTACTTTAAGCTTGAACTCAGTGGTAATATTTGATTGTATATTTTGACTGTCCAGGTAAGGATAGTCCTAAGAGGGACAGTTGTTGGTGGTCATGACTGGCATTTTAACAACTTAAGTAGAGGTCATTATCACCATTGAGAGAGTTAGATTTGTTGTAAGTCAACTGTTTAAGTCTGCTTCACATAAACTGAATTATTAGTATGCAGGTGCAAGCACCATACTAATGATTCATTCACAACATTTATACAACAAATAAACCAAACAAGATCTAACATTATAAACTAATTATTTACCAAACAACCACAACCACAACCAACCTAGAAATTTTCTTAAAATGAAAATACAATAAATAAAACCATCCTCACAAAGATGCAGTTATCAATTACAAAAATTATGAGAGTTCCATTCTTGTGTTTACCTAGTTTTCCAAAATGGGCTGACTCCACAAGTTTTTCCAAAGCAGAGACAAGAATATCTTTTGCAGTTCGGTGAGGAATCTTCCATGCACCAACACTTTTCAACATTTGACCACTTGAGTTCTGTTGCTTTTCTGGTTGAACTTGTTCCAAAGACTGGAAGTTTCCCTCAGCAGGAACTTTACATAATTTTGGATGAGAATTTGACCCAGAAATACCCTTTCTCTGTAATGTACATGTACTGGTATCTCTATTGTTTTCTACAGTACTTTCAGAACTTCTCTCAGCTTTTGTTTGGTCTTGAAGTAAACTAGAATCACTGTCAAACACTTCTAACACTTCTAAAACTTTCAATTCTGGAAAGAAAGAAAGAAAGAAAGAAAGGAGAAAAAGAAACAACCTTGAGTCAACACTGAAGAGAGAGGCACCTTCCCAATGGGTTTCAATAATAGCTTCCTGCATAATAATAATAATGATTATAATAATAATTGTAATAATAATAATAATAATAATAATAATAATAAATCATAAAAATGATAATAATAATAATAATAATAATAATAATAATAATAATAATAATGGTATATATAAGAATAATAGTGGAAGGAGGGAAACCCTCAAACCCAGAGAAAAACCATCCAAGCAAGGACAACAATCAACAACAAAATCAAACCAGCCTAAAATTTACTGGCTATGGGCTTGTAGCCTTGCAAAAGTATCATTATATTGTACTCCTAACACACATGTAATTCTTTTCAAGTTGGTGAAAATCTAGGGAAAAAAAAGCAACATAAATTGGAATACACCTATACATTCAGGAAAATTCAACTGCTGAAGTCTCAACCTTCAATATTTCCTAATAGAGCCCTAATGGGAGTTAAAGGGTAATAAGTGTATTATATAATACTACTTAATTGATGGAGTACTCCTTTAGCAACTCATATGCTTCATCAAGGACTGGCTTGACTACTTTTTCATCCATGTAGGATTGGTGTCTCATGTGCACAATGATAACTGAATACACAAATTATGTGTCTACCTTGACTTGATGCCTTTTTAATCCATTTACAGACATCTTCTTCTACATCCACACTTTGCTTCTCAGAATCAGAGATCCACTTAAACAATGAAGCACTGGAGTCAGCTAATGTACCACATGTACTATTTGATTCACTAAGCTCATTACATGAAGCTGTGTCATCACAAATATTTTTTCTCAACTGGTCAATGTTGTGGCAGTTTGTGCAAGACGCATGAAATATCAATGTCAGAGATCCTCCTTTGTCAGCACATATGCTGTGTTTGACACCTGCCACACCATGAAGGTCTACTTTAACATCCTCACCCTAAAAGAATGATCATTTGACTTAATAACAGTATGTGGCCCCCCTGCAATCACATACATACCATGTGCCTAAAATTACTGTCACAGTTAATATCATCAGTTTCATTTTTTAAAACCGAGCAGTTCAAGTACATGGAGGAACACTTCTCTATAATCATTGCTTATGCCTGTCAACTTCTAAAGCACAAGCACAAGGTTTAATTTCCTAAACCAGTGGAAACAATCATGTTAAGCAGGTCAAAGTCCAAATAATACAAAAGCACATCAGACATAACATCTTCCTGTAGTGTACAAGCCTTAAACCCCTGACCAGACCAGCTTTGTGCAAGAGCATAACTAATAACTGGCTCATGCTTTTCTTTTTCCCCTCTGCCTCTAATGTCCTTGTTGGGACCAGAGAGAAAGAAGTTTATTATTATCTTATCTCCTTACCATCTTTACCATTATTATTACTATTATCATTATCATTATTATTATTATTATTATTATTATTATTATTATCATCATTATTTACTAATGTTTTTGTTTTAGACCAGATTTTCCTCCAATGTATTCCAAAATTTTTCAGTCATAGTCATTGCCCTCCAGACAATTTGTTTACCGCCATTTCTCCCCTCTTGCTACTTGTTTGTTCGCTCGTTTGCTAATGTTTGCTTTATTTGTTTACTTTCTGTGTCAATATTTTGGACCGTAGAACCCGCTCTTCACCCCCCATCTAAACTGGTTTGACAGAGTACGAGCCACAACCCAGGCTCTAAGAGACAAGCAAATATAACCTCTTTATTTTACACGATCTTTCTCAAGAGCTGAGTTTTTTGGTCATTTTTTAATAGAAAAATGTGACAAGTTAACGATATAATAAACTGGTCATTTGTTGAGATCCATTGAAAAAACAAAAGATAAAGATCCAATGACAATATCAGACTTCTATCAGACTTCGGCTTTGTACAAACACTTAACATGCTCGAAAGGACTTTAAATATATACCAGTTGATCCAAACACCATCTATCTATTCCTTGACGAAAACTTTCATTTTCCTTTAGAACAAACCAAGGTAATTTCCATTGATCTCTACCATCACTTTTCCAAAGGAGCACCTTATCTTTATCAGTTGTCGTCAAAATAATTTCGGATTTGATAGATTCCGCCAGGTGGCCGTGATTAACATGTTGATGGGTGTCAACGCCACTGGAGGCCATGTTTACATTGTGATCGAGTCTGAAATCAGATTCGAAACGGTCTTAGGACTGGAAACGGGTCGCTCCTTAACGCGCGGGAAGTTGAATAACTATGGCGGGCCTCTCGAATAAGCGAACCATAAAGAAACGTTTCAACTTTATGTTGTCGTCTTTCGACGCGGAGGAGAAAGAGAAATTGTCGCAGTGGATTAGAGAGCTTGGAGGAACGTACCATGACTCTCCTGTAAGTGAAACAAGGTGTAACAAGGTGTAATTATCGCAAACTTTGGGTTATGATTTAAGATATCGAGTAGTGTGCGAAGAAAAAATGTGCGTTCGACGCTCGTGCGTTTGTCCTATTTCCTCGTGACTTGCGAGCTGATTTTCAAGTAAATTAAAAGAGATGAAGATCTACGGTTTGGCTCGAAGTAGAAGCCGACTTAAGCCTTTGAATCCCAAAATCGTTTTGGAGGATAATCTCGCCGAGCTAAGGTTTAACACTTACACCTAAACATCAGTATGCAAGTTCTCCAGACTGTTTTCTAAAACATTACCTGTGTAGTTACCACGAGAATTTCTCACAATTAAGAGTTTAACGTTGACTTCCTTAATTCTCATGACCTGAATGTTTGATTCAGCGGTGATACTGTTGGGAGAAGTGAGATGCCCATCGCTCTTGAGGGTAAACTCGGGTCAAAATAATGCTAAATTGCTTTTACTGATTGCACTTGCATTTCGCTGCTGCACTATAGCTGGGATTAATTTTCCATTCTTTTCAAGATAGTGTTCTTTTCACTCTTTGCTGTTGCTGTTGTTGTTGTTTTTGCCTTTTTCTCATGTAAAACTCGTGTAGCAAATCTTCAGAATTTAGCATTGCCAATTATATTATTGAAGATCTTCCGTTCCAGCAGATTCGATGTAACTGCTCTGTGCTTCAACACATTCCCACAGAATGTTTTGCCAGGTGACACACATGCTTTGTTTGTCCCTGACTGGCTGCTTCACATGCTGGGATCACAGGGCAACCATTTTTTTACTTGTGTTTATTTTTTATAAATTCATTTTTGCTTTTATTAGAACTTTGTGAGGAGTTGCACACATATTGTTTGTGGAAAACCAAATCGAGGTGAAAAATTTCTTTGCGGCTGTGTATCAGGTAAGTTCAAGTGTATAATGCAACAGAATCCTATTATCTCTGGTCTCTTTGACAGTTATCAGTTACAATAAACAGTGCCAGTGTCTGTAATTTGACTTTGGACAATCTGACATCTCTCTTTCTTCATTGAATTGAGTTTGAGACTGAAGTGCTAATTTAAAAAATTGCTCCAGAGCTCTTGATTCTCTAAGAAGTAAAACAAATAAAATGAGAGAAATGTAGTTGCTCTCTCATCACCCGGTGAAGAAAATTTAAACAGTTACCTTGAGCAAGTTCCTTTAGAGAAGATTGAATTATGATGGTTTTTATATAATAATAATATTCTTGATAGTTATTTATTTCTGAACATGGCTCTTTGTAAGATCAACCTTCTAGTGCACATTGAACATTCATTGCAAAATCTGAAAAAGACATGGGTCTGTGGAAACCAGACCATCTTTACAAGAAGGATGCATCTATCCTCTAACATGGTCTGTTTATCTAGGCAAGTGGATTTTAAGGAGACAGTATATAGAGGACAGCATGAAGGCTGGGAAATGGTTAGATGAACATTTATATGAGTGGAATGAGCAGTGTGCTGTTGAGGGAATCTCTGCCTCTCATATTTCATCACCTTCTCGTTGGAGAAAACTTCTGCAACAAAACATTCCAAGCCCTTTTGAGGGTTGGAAAGCATTGGTAGTTGTTGCAGTTGCTAAGAAAAGAGCTGCTTACAAGAGGTAGGGTAGATAAACCTTTAACCCTTTAACTCCCAGTTCTAAGTGATTAACATTTTCTTTCTCCCAATAATATCCATACATTATCCAGCAAACAGGTAATAAGAATACTCAAACTTATCAGGAAAAAGTTGTTATCTTGACCTAAAACCAAATTCTTGTTACCAACTTAAAAGAAAATGTGTAGTAGCTATATGGGAGAACTAACAATCAGATCTTGGTAGTTAAAGGGTTAAGCATTTGTTTGCTTGATTGTTGATTCATCCATGCACAGTTATACATTTACATGTTTCCATGTTGTCATCTAAATGTATCTCTTTGTTTGTCAGTTTGTTTATTCATGCTTGTTCCTGTATCCCTCTACATCCTTTTATTACCTCATACATCCTTCCATTCATCCATTTGTTCAATTATTTCTTTAATAAATAAAACATGCTCAATCATTGTATGTGCAGCAATAAAGCTAGACTGAGTGTTAACCTTTTAACTCCCATGAGTGACCAAGACAGAATTTCTCCTTACAAGATCAATACAATGTCAACCACATAAGTGATGAGAATTAGGAAAATTTTAAGTTGGGGATAATAAGTTGATCCAATACTGAATTCTCTGAACTAACATTATTAGAATTGTAAAATTGACAGTAAGAAGAATTACAAATTTGATCTGGGAAATTTTTTAAATTGTTTTCTTTCTTTTTATTTGTTTATGATTGAACTGATGAATGATAAAAGTGCTATTTGTATCAATCACAATATTTAGTTTGAATACATATGGCTAGAGGTTTTTTTTGTTCTCTTAAGGTTGTTAGAGGTTGGTGGTGCTACAACTGTTGGTGGAAAGCCACCATACTCTGCTAGTCTTGCATCAAAGATAACACATATCTTTGTGGAAAAAGCACTTGAGCAGGATGTTCAAGCTCTTCAGAGTGTTGGAGTACAATGTCTGTCTCCTGATTATATTCCAGAATTAATACTTCAGGTAAGAAAACATGATTACTTTTTAAAATTTTTTTTTAGGTACATGTATGGAGAGGACCACTTTAAGGATGACAGAGTAAATCGTGTTTTGCTAGGAATTTACCTACACAAAACTTCTTTTAGTGACAGTATTTAGTGCCCTGTTGGAAAATCTAATGAGATGGTTAATATGCATTAATTCATTGATTTGGATTAATTACACTGTAAATTTATCCAGTAAACTTCAATTCATAAACTTCTTTCCAGTGAAGAGTCTCCTTCACAGCTGTCATTTGGTCTTGTCATGCAATGCACTCTCCCAAAGGTGAGAGAGAGTACATGTCATGTGACAAGAATAAACAATAGCTGAAAAGGGGAGTATCCAGTGAATTGATTGAGAAGGTACCATTCTTTGATGCAGGCTGTGAACAGACTTGCATCAGGGGTAAAGCAAGATCTTCACGGTCCTGACCTCTCAAACCCTCATGACAAACAAATGTTTTTGGACAAGCATTAAAATTAATGCCTCTATTTTCAGTGCCCTCGGTCAATTTCACCAAATTTTTGAGTGAAATTTAAATTGAACAATTGTTTAGCATGTGAGTGCATCTTAGGGTATGAATGTTGTTCTGAATGAATGAATGAAGATTTTTAATTATTTTTGCAAAAAATACTTAAAGCCTGTTTGTTTCAATTTACCCAAGAAGAAAAAGCTTTATTCTGATTTTGATTCAAGAAGAGAACTTCACATGTTGAGCTGCTTGGACTCACAAGGTTTTTTTTTTTCATGATGTTATAGTAGGGAGGTACAGGCTACTTAAATATCAGCCACGAGTTTGGTAACTAGGAAACTTAAGGGTGTTTTTAGAACCAAACTGCTCAACTGCAAAGTCAAGATTTAACCTCTCTTCTTTCAATTCTTTCCAACAGGATCCTCCTCCTTCTACTGCTGAATATTTAATCTCAGCCTACAATTCACCTTTAAGCCAACCAGTCATTAAACTACAAAGAGTTCCTAGCAGGTCCAAGAAAACTCCAGTGTTGAGCAGTCTTGACAGTGCAGTTAATGGTCATGTTCATGTGCAATCCAGGATAAGGAAAGAGAGTAACACTAGCATGCCACCTTTAAAAATATCAAAGGCAACCTTTGGCGTTGGAAAAGAGAATGAACCTGTGCTGTCTTCCAAGAAGTCAAAAGTGTCCTCTTGTTTTGAAGAAGAAAACAAGGTGAAAAAAACTTCTAAAGTGACACAGGCATTGCACCCTTGTGTCCAAAAGGAGAATGACCAGGCACAACTGCCAACACGGAAAAGGTCCAAACCATCTGCTGAAGTTTCCTGTTCTTCAGAGTCACCAAACAAAAAACAGAAACAGGTATTTGAAATTGATTCAGATGTTTTAATGAAGGTATCCAAACTTAGTATTTAAACTTTGTATAAACTATGCATTATTTTCTAATTCTGGAATCTCACAGGTGGGTGCAAGTGAACTGATTAAAAGCTTCATGATAACCAGCATTTTTACGAACTTGAAATAGTCATAATGAGTCTTGTCATCCTTCCTTTGAGAGCCTGTTAAGGTTCTTCTCTCATTACTTTGAATTGGTATGATTGGAAATTTCTATTTAAATTATTTTTTTTTACTATTTGGTGCAAATGAAAAGTTTAAATTTGCCATTTTATCAGCAGGAAAACTGGGCAGGGCTCATTAATTGTGTGGAGAGGTGGAGAGCAGTGTCAAGCTTAATGGTCAACTCTAAGACACATAAAGTAAGTCACTTTGTAACTTTTTGATCCCTGGCATTTTGCAATTTCACATTACAAGTACCTGATTTATTGCTGATTTACATGGGTTCAATTTATCGTACTTTACACACTAGTAAACTTTATGTTATGTCCTGTGCAGTGTAGATCTAGAGAAAACAATGTATTAAGTTTTGCCACTTTTTGCAGGGAAGTGCTAGAAGTGAGTTTCCAGCTTATATCCGAGATTCAATAGATGGATATCTGGAAGAGTCCCATAAATCCACAGTGTTAGATGTGATTGGTTCTTTTGTGAATTCCAAGAGGTACCCTCCCCTGCAGATTCTTCATACGATCATACAAAGCCTGCTGGTTGTAAGTTTTAGGTCACAATTTAGCAAAGAAAACTTGCCGATGATAATTTTCATGGAAGGATCACAACTTGCTGGAATAGCATTCCTCTTGCTATCCACTTAAATTTCTTGAGAAAGTGACTTTAAAGTTACTGTTGTAATCAGAATTTGTATTTGACAAGTTTTCATTAATCAGTCCACTTACTAAAAAACTAGCCGGTCACTTTTTCAACAAGGTGTCTTTAAAAGAAGAAATTTGTTGGGGGAAGGATTAATTTTCTAAGGGAAAAAAATTTCTTGTGTAAATGAAGCTTTTTCTAAGGGTTCCCTATCAAAACGAAGCGCGAACTTGAACGGTGCGATAGAAGCGGCAAACAAAGCTTCGGGTCGTTTCGCGTAATTCGACCCACGGCTCCAGAAATCCTTTTTTTTTTCTTCGTTAATTCTTTCCTCCTCATTCCAAGATGTCAAATATTTGTATCCTTTGTAGCTCTTCTATGGAATGTTAGATATCAGGATAAGGAAAGAGAGTGACCCTCCCCCCAAAAAACTTCTCTATAAAGAAACAAGGCAAATTGTGTGTCTTATAAGGTTAAAAGTGATGAGTAGATACTGTTGGCGAAAGGAACACTTCTGCTGTTGGCCAAATGCACCAGGTTTTCTGTGTATGGCGTACAGGTCATATACTTGAATTCCTGAGCCAATTTTTAGCTCGTGATATGTACCACGAAATACCTACCAATCTTGGACTCTGCTAGTCAATTAAAGGGACCATGACACTCAATACAGTCAATTAATTTGATTTTACCCCAAGTTGTCAGAAACCACATACATGCAGTATAGTCCAGAGGTTGTGTAACTGTGTTGTAAAAATGATTGGTGGACTACACTAAGATGTCATTGAGGATATTTTCATTGCAACCAACAATTCTAACGAAAAATAACCAAACTTCTGCGTTTACTTTTATGCAACACTCACCCAAGATCCTTATTATGTGTTTAGTGATGTGACGTTGTTTAGTTAAGGTCGGGGCAATTCGCTTAATTTTTTCCCTCCAGAAATCTCCATCCAATGCCCTGGCCATCAAAGCTCACCATCTACTTCAACGTATTCTCACTGTCCACACCCCCTCCCAAACCTCTTCACTGTACCACTCTGTACTCGGCTTTTACGCTGATGGCGATGGGATGTCAGATGAGAGAGGAGACAGTTGGGAATTTATGAAAACAGTCTACAGGTAACAAATATCTTTAAGAAAAACTATAATTTTAAATAAATCTTTGAAACCTTTGTCTTGATGGTCGTTTTGACGTCGATCCACGTGAAATTTGCTTTTTGATAACAATTGATATCTAAAATCTTGGTTCTTTTTAATTTTACCGTCTTGTTTTGTTTGTTTGTGTGTTTGTGGAAAGTTTTGAAGTGTTTTTTTTTAGGTGGTTGGAAAATACCGTATTTTCTCGATTAAACGCGTGGCGTTTATATAATTTCGAGCGTTTCTGAAGAAGCGTTTTTTTCGAGCGCGGTGTTTATTTCAAAATCATATTCCTAAAGTCGTTGACAATACTTACGGTTAATCATTTGTGAATATCCTATGAAACAGAAGCCTACTTACATTTCTTGCATCTTTCTTTTTATATGAGATCGAGTCGTAGTGGAATAACTCAGAGGCTTTTAATGGGCACAATATGAATGGTGTAGATGATGAATTTATACCCTACGTGGGATTTTTCGTGTAATCCTTGAGCAAACGCTACATTTTTCTGTGTAGATGAAGCATTTATGGGGTTGGCGGGCATCAGCGTCGGTTAATCGAAGGCGCGGTTTAATTGAGCAAATAGGGTAGTTTGTAGTGATGCTCTCCCTGAAAAAGTGTTACCCAGTTTTAAAACGTTCTATAAATATTGCCTCTTCATTTTCAGTGACAACGATGACAACAGCCGTCTTTTACGGAGATTTGCGACCACTCTGCTAGAGAAAGATTTTAACGAGCGGATAAATGGGTATGCGCATGTAAACTTCATAGTAACTTGATAGTGGCCTGTGTAGGGAATGCATCTGGTAATATTGTACCGCTTTTATTGACTGCTACCTTTGTGTGGTTGCCGTTGGAAGTGGGAGCAGGAAATTTCACGTATGTGTACATGACGGAGTATTATATTGTTCGTGAAATTTTGGCTCCTAATCGTGTTCTGATTTGTGAGAGCTGTCATCTTCCAAAAGTGATTGTTATGTAACTTCTCCCTAAAAATAGCCAGACAATGTCCGCAAACAGGTAATGAGAACACTCAAACTCATTAAGTAGTTGTTACCTTTATCTAACACCAAATTCTCACAACTATTTCCAAGGAAATATGTAGCAGCTAAAGGAGAGAATTAACAATCAGCTCCTGGAGGTGTAAGGGTAAAAGTTTCCTAGTAGATCCCTTCCTCAACCCTCTTTCGTTGAAACGCGGTGACTGCTCGGACTAGTGACTTCTCTGTTGTAACAGGTTGATTCCAATAGTACACGAACGTACTGCTACCTTTTGTTTATTCTTTATAGGACTTTGGTCACTCCTAGAGACAAATTAGACCGTCTGAAACAATCCCTTCTTTGGAAAGTGTTTTGGCCGGGGTCGTCCTCAGTCTCCTTCAACATTCGACTGCGTGAGCTCTTCAGGGTGACGTGGACTGCAGCTTGCTCATCACGTGACAAACCCTTCCAGGTGAGTGATTGGATGAGGCCAAACGTAATGAGAAGACTGTTTTTGTTTTTCTGGCATGTGTTGGTGGATGGAACCGTTGCTACAAACGCGAGAAGAGAACAACCTAAAGCCATAGAACAGACCAGGCCTCAAGTTATTCTGTTTGCAAAATGGTAGAAATAATAAAAGTGAAACGACCATTTTCGATGTACTAAAATTCTAGCATAGCTTCGAGGCTTGGGGGAATGAAACAAAATAAATTAATTATTCATTCCTCAACCTCGTTGTGATTTCTTTTGTTTTATTCCCCAAGCCTCGGAGCCATATTGCCAATTGCACTGCCTCACATTACGTTAGCACTTAGAAGCGCCCTGTAATATATGGACGGAGAGAAATTGAATTAAAGTAGGCTTGATAAATTAATCTGACAATTTAACAAGTTTTAATAGATATTGGATTCTGAACTGACCCAGATTTCGAGCTTTTCCGCCATGAGGGAGCCATGACATCAAGACACTCTTTAAATAAACATGAGAGAAAGCTTTTTAAACTCTTCACATGATAAATTGATCTCAGATTCTCTCAGATTCAATTTCATTTCACTTTTGTTCCTCCAGATTGCGACTTTGCTCTCACTTCAAAGTCTCGTTGCCATGGCAGCTCGATGCTTTATTTTCTCTGATGTCGTTTCTATGAAGTGTAACGAAGACGAGCTAGGCACCAGGTTAAGTGAACGCTCGAGAACTTTTGTGACCGAGCTTTTCCTGGTCTTTGAAAACGGAAACGAGGCTGCATTGAGGCGAGTTTTGGAGACGTGTAGTCCCACGTGGATTCGAATGCAAGTGACTGACATGCTACTGGTTAACTACAATGATCACTTAGTACCCCTGGAGAGACGCCACCTGAATACCAAGGGCTTATCACTTGAGAAAATAGTAAGTCGGTTTTGTGTCCTACGCAGTAATGTTTTATACACCCTGCAAAATGCTCCTTTCTCGAAACACTTACAATGTTTGAAGCGAAAGATGTAATTTTTATTTGGTGTTAGTGCAATTCGCAATTGAGTGTCCAAAGTAAGCCGAAATTGCAATGATTTTGCTTCACCTCGCTCTGGGATTGATCCAGAAAACTCCTGTTCTTTTATTAACCAATCAGATGCAAAACTAAAACCAATTACAACTTGGTCGCCCGCGCAGGTTTTCCCGCGCTTTAGCCGTTTGGTTGTTTTTACTTTGAGCTCTCATTGGCTTTACAGGTATTTTCCTTTCTCCCGATTGGCTATTGTGATTACTTTGTTTTTGGTTTTTACTACACTCAGACGAAAAGTGCTGTATTCATGTGGGCATACTGGCCAATTCTTGGAGCACATACTGCCCTTTTTTTATTTTTAGCAAAAAATGGAAAGTGAAATCTAAAGCCGTTTGTCAAGAAGGGACGCCGTATATTACTGGTTATTTGTTTACTGTGTTTGTAGTCTTGAGACCGCAAAGCATCATATAGTTGCAGTTTGTCGCTGGCAAAACGAATGTGATTGTTCAAACGACTTGTGGAACAAACGAGCATCACTGCTGACTGCTGACTTCCAAAATCGATCAGTTCATTGATGAAAAGTTGGAAGTTAATCGGGCATTTTAGGGAAGATTTCTGAAAAATGACTCATTCCTATTTAACGTTAATTGATTCCATACCATTTTCTTCCAATATTTTCATTTCTTCTCGCTTTACATTAACCCTTGACACCCTAACATCAGTATGCATATTCTCCATACTGATCTCTACACGTTTAATAACTTTCTGACAAGGAGAACTTGTTCAACAGTCAAGAGCTTCTTTAGTTGGTGATCATTTCCTTTATTCTCGTGACCTTAATGCATGATTCAGGGGGGATATTGTCGGGAGAAATTAGATGCAAGTCACTCTTAGAGGTTAAATTGTTAAGAACACGATTCGTTTGGCCCGTAGTTGCTTAGCTTAACTTCTGATTTCCTAAATAGGTTTCCAACTATTTCTTCCTGTTACCTGAGGCTACCTCTGCAAGTACCGACTCAATCCCAGGATCTACTCCTGTAAATGGAACTTCATGTAAACGAACTCCACCTCAAGCCATTGGGTGAGTACACTTGCCATCAGGTGGGTGCACTGAGTGCATTAGGGACTGAATCATCGAATTACTGATCCAACTAAACTCTTGTCTGTACTCGACGTGTGTGCGGCTATCAACGTAATGAATTGGAAATTTTCAACACAAATATTGGAGTTCTGTACTTCATCTGTGTGGTTGAATCGCACAAAACTTTACAATGTTTTCCCTTGTAGTTTGTACTGTCATAGACTATAACTAGCTCAACACCAAGATTACTTCGTGTTTTAGTAAACAGATTCCCATTTAACCGATTCCTTTTTAATCGACTGTGTCTATCACTCACTTAGATAATAAACAAAAAAAACGTGTACCACAACTGATCATCATTGCGGTTGTTATTTATAGAAAAAGGTGTTAAACGTTGGTCACAAGCTGAAATAATAGTAATAACCTCCATTTAAACTCGACGACTGAGCTTTAAGTTGACCAAAGCTATAGGTATATTTTTTACCATTGACAACAGAATGGTGCGATTATTTTTGGGATTTCTAGAACATTGGTATTTTTGTTTTGTGGGATTAATTTCTACAGGTGATTGTCTTTTGGTGTCATTAATTGTTTTTTCATCGTTATTTCTACTTTTGTGCTGTAATTAGTTTCTAGTTCGCTTCGTAATGTATTGACACGTCGCATTTTCACGCGTGAATGAAAAAATTATCACTTTTGAGTTAAAGGTGAACAAAGATAAAAGAAATTGTGAGTAAAGAAATTGTTTCCTTTTTTTGTCGACAACCCTGCATATTGACCGGTTTCAACACCTTCGAACTCGTAACACAATTGTTTAAACTATTTTAGATAAAAAGAAAACAGAATTTTCCAGAAACGGAAATCGACTTTAACTCGAAAAGTACGTCTGTAAAGAGAAATTGAAGGGTACAATTTGTTTTCCAACACTACGTTCACACCAATGAAACAAAAAGGAAAAACTCTGTTTCCTAGTTCATGCTATTTATGAAACGTACTTACGTCATGTAATATAAGGTCGTGGAAGGACGCAAAATTTTCTTGAACCTCGCTTTCGAACTTACCAAGAAAACACTTAGAAATATGTAAAAAAAAAAAAGCGAAGTTGATGTTTGCAATATCCACGCAAGGGACACACTCTGCCTCGCACCCAACCGGTATTACATCAGACATCTGTACTTAATCAACCATTCTACTGAATGCCTAGTTACCAACATTTTTCTTGCGTTAATCATTAGATATTCGGTTTCTTAGTGACGCAAGGGAACAAAATTAAGCCTGAGGCACCATTTAAATTTAAAAATGCTAAGAATAATACTAGTGACGTCAATAAGGTCGCCACATGACGTATAACTTACACCATACCTTAAAATCGTGAGGAACACTAGGATATGTCCACCAAAAGAAATTGGCCATAAAAGTTTGCAGTTAAAAAAAAAAACACTCCAAAGGGAAAATGTAAAATGTTAAAAATGTAGCATTTTTGTTAATTTTTTTCCCTTTATACTTGTTTCATCCTTCACTTCATTACGTCAGCTCATGTACACGTACATGACGTTTACCAAAGACGATGACGTCGTCCGATTAGTTGATAAAGAGTGTTCACTTATGGATGATAGCACTTCACTCTACTAACACTTCATGTGAAGGAACATCGCTTATTTCCTCGCGGAAAATCCAAAGAGAAAGATGAATCGAAAAAGGCAAGGGCTGTCGATGACGGGCTTACCTTCAGCTTTCAAAGTAAGGAATGAACGCACTTTTGGTGGTAAGTCATCTGATTGTGAGGAAGGACAAAAATTCGCCTGTGCTCAGCCATCGGGAAAGCATCAAGAACCATTGAAGGGTACCTGCACTCCGTTCAGCAGAAATGAAGAGTCGCCAACGGTTGCCTGTGGTCTTCCATATGGAAAAGCTCGTTCAAATTTACCTGTGTCCTTCACAAATACCAAACCCAGTTCCAGTGGTTTGCTTGTGATTAATGGACGGCCTTTTGTTCTGCCACAAAGTGAGTTGGTCCTTGCTGACTTGCCATTGAAATTGAAACGACGTGAAGCTCTTTATCGGCAAACTACAAGACCTCGAACCTTTCAATTCACTCAACCCCATGACCAAAGAGAATCAGCCCAGGATGGCGGGAGGATTGCCAAACAGGAGTCAGTGCTACGTGTTCATAATGACTCCGTGAGAACAAAAAGGGAAAGACGACCTACATTCCAGAATAAAACCGTCATCTGTAAGCCATACTTACCGCAGCCTTCGCTGGAGAAAGAAAAGATCTTGGTCTCTCGCCCTGGTCGAGATCATTTAGTTCAACCCAAAAAGAACTTTTGCAAGTACAGTGCAATCGACGGACACCATAAAGCGAACGGCGCCAGCTGTATTAAAGGTGGACATGGTACAGTGATGTGTCCGACCACAGCTAAACTTCAGCTGATGGTCAGCACTGAACAATTTGGATCCCAAGGGAAAGAGAAGGAAGCAGTGGACCAAACATCAATACGGCAACGACGTGTTGCTGGTCAGCATACGAATGGTGATCTACACAGCAAGAGCAGAAGGAATGGACTTTGTCCACAGACAGATCCCGCTCAACAACATCTAACATTCATCCGTGTTCTGCGGAAACGATTTTAGTAAATCAACTAAAACTTTTTTCATATATGGCTGATGAAAGAAATTGGCTCAGACCGAGGAAATAAATCAATAGCAAAAAGAAATTCATCGTACCGTAATTACCCGATAGCAGGTATATTTATCATTGATTGCTATGGCAGATATGAGTTCATTGCAATTATATATATATGAATCAAGTGTAATATTTATCTCTGCGACAAAATTTTGTTTATTGTAATTGGCCGAAAGCAGGCCGATTTATCACTGATATGTGTATCAGAAATTAGCTAATTCTATACGACCAAGGGTAATCACATTTGAGTATCCTTGATAATTAAAAGTACGCGTATGCGCGTTCGTCTTTTTTCCCATTTAGTTTTAGGTCAAATAAGCTCGTGGCATTGAAGATTTACAGTTTGTACGATATTTTAAAGTACTTATGCATTATTCTTTCCTTTATTTATAAAGTTTGAATGTTTGTACACGATAAAAACGAAGAGAAAAGAAAGAAACCATTCAAGGCATATTTATTGGAAATTATTATTGTACAGGCTTGTTGTTTGCATGAAAAAGTCCCAATTTAATAAATAGAATGTTATTGCATCGAGACACCGTAGCTTTTTTTTGCCTCTCCGAGCCGTGAGAAAGTCTCTGCTCAAGTCGTGCATACGGCTTCATTGTAATTGGTACACGATTCACCGACGAGAGGAATTGGAAGCAGGCGGGAGAAACGAAAAAAATGTCCGAGTCTCCACGAGCAATCAAAACCAGACTTCGATTCTGCGCTCTTACGCTCGGCCACTGAGCGACACACAATGTTGTTTTGAGTCAGCCCATACTAGGTTCAAATGTGACACGCTTTTTGTAATCTTCTAGGATCAGTGATGTCGACAGCGTCATGTGGGTTAAAGAATGAATACAGAGTTTTTATGGGTATTCAAGCTGACTTTTAACGATGTTTTGAGGTACAGGTTTAGATAACCATAACGTCTTTTAGAGGACGTTTAGTTAAATTTTGTGCTATTTTTTTTTAATTTTTTTTTTTTTTGACAGGAGTGCAAGCAATCGTAAAGTGAGAGACATAAACCGTCGAAACCCAAAGGGTGAGTTGAATTCATTTCTTTTTCTCATGGTTGTGAAAAAGGTAAGGTCGTGCGGAAGAATCCATTCAGTGTCTTTGCACTCTCGCAAGGACATTGAAACAATGCATATGGTACATGCAAAATTACTTCAGGAGACCTGTGAACAACACTCACATAGGGCAGTAGACCTCTCTAGCTTGCATGTTTTGTTTACCTATTATAGGGCTCAAAGGATTTCTTGCTTTATTTTTTGTAAATTATGCGTACATATGCACGTGGATAAGAGGACATTTGAAAAACAGTTCTCTGGAGTATCATCACAGGACCTGAAAGGTGTACACAAAACATACATGCTTAAGAGGTCAATAAGTCCATTGGCTGCAACCTCATTACTTCATTAGCTGAAAGGCAGGTTTTTTCACTTTGTCGCGCAAGCGTCACCATTGATTTAACATGTTCCACAACTAAGCTTTTCTCCTTTGTAAAACTAAGCAGACAGACCAGTCTGTCTTTGCACAAGCATCTTTGCTTTTCCCTATTAGGTGAGTCCGATCTTCAGTCAAGTTGCATCAGGAATGATGTGGTCAAAGTAAAGCAGCTTCTGGCGCAAGGCGCAGACGCCAACCTTCAGGACTATGCAGGATGGACAGCACTGCACGAGGCTTGTAATCATGGATTTGCAGACTGTGTTCAAGAGTTGCTGAAGGCAAGACAGCTGGTGTATGAAATGAAACCCGGACACGGTATGTTAATTCAGTTGGTTCTCTTTTACTTTTAAGATTGTAGGCTTACTGTGACTAAGGACAGCCTTTATGATGGTTTTTGCTCAAATTTTATTATGTGCAATTTCTTCAAATAATAGGGGTTTATCTCATTTTAGGGGCTAGGCCACTCAAGCAGTTTTCAAATTTAACAAACTATTTGGTTCTTTAGTTTAGGATTTAATCTATGCTCCGATTAGCCATCGTAATTACCTTTGATTTGGTTTAACGATACTTAGGCGAATTATGCCAACAGCCTAATTTCAGATTCAGTGTGGAGTTGAAAACCCACTTGCTATTCAGCAGACATATTATCCAGGCTGTTACATACTTTAATCGTTTTGATTTACCAGATCCAAGCAAGGTACTTAACTTGCTGTTAGCTCCTCCATGCGGGACAACACCGTTACATGATGCAGTGGGAAATGGTCACCAGCAAGTTGTGGAGCTTCTGGTCAGAGCAGGAGGTGAGGGATTTTATGGTTTGAGATAAACACTGGTGATGTTACCACTTTTAAAAGATTGTTGTCCTCTTAAAGACGACAAATAAGAATTTTTAATTGGAAGTCATATCTTTGTAGATTGTCTTCATATTTCATCAGCTCACTGGAAAAAAGAAATTCCCCAGTTGCTTACGGTCTGCCCATCATTTAAGTTATCCGTGGCACTCATTCCTAGAGTAGGTGTAGACTTTTGAATTCTCTTAAGACGGTATAGATACGGAAATTTGCAAACTAGTTTTCCAAGCCTCGGAAAGGAGAGGAAAACAGAGATTTAATCTGAAAAATGCATAACTTTTTCCCAATGTTATGTACGCCTGGGAAGTTTATGTATTTCATGTCGTGTAGGAAAATTTCTTCGTTCTCCTCAACACAACCGTCGAGGTGGGAACGAGGTTTATAAGCAAGTTTTTTTTATCCTCTCTCAGGTTTACCTTTACTGCAAGCAGAAAATGCCCAGGATGAAAAACCAGTCGACTTAGCAGCTAAAGATGAAATAAAGGAATTTTTACAAACCATGGAATTGGACTTTAGAAGAAGGGAGAGTAGCTGCGTCACAGCTATTCGTCCATACGAGGAATGTTACCGAGCAGTATTAGGAAAGGGACGACACTCCAGTAGGCGTGTATCCACTGCAGAATATGAGCAATATCTGTTGATCCTTTCCCATCTGGTGCAGTCGTATTTCCGTGCTACAAGAGCACGGACTGCTTTTGCTTGTGACGAGCAACTTTGGCTGAACTTCGGTGAACACTGCGATAATCTGGAAGCTCATGTTACCAGGATCGCCGCAGACAGGCGTCTCTCCTCCCTTGCGTCCGTCCGAATCCAAGCCATGAGGATGCTAGGGGGGTCGTAACCAGGAGAACATCTTGATTTTGATTATACTGGAAAAGCAATGTCCAAAGAATTAAACTTCTTCAATTAGATTTTTATCAATGTGGATGTTACGCGTACGGTATAAAACATTTTTATTCGTCGCTCTCTCTGCCCAAGACATTAAAAATCTTTCTTGTAAATGTTCTCCAGAATATCAATCAATGTTGCCAATCAATCAAAACTGTGAAAAAAAACGAGAAACAAATAGCCTTCGGACATGCGTTTTCATTAAAAAAAAAAAAAAAGTTAACTCGGCAAAATGCGCTTACTGTTAATCATAGGAAAACCCATGATCATCAGTAGTTGGTCTGGTGATAAAAGTTTTTGGTGGAGGAACAGTTTTTTTCTAAGTAAAGGAATAGGTTTTTCTAATTGTTTATTTCATTCAATTTCCTCTTTTGAAAAACATTTTTCTGTTTTCTTGGTAAAGGTACAGCGTTTTCTTGTTATTTATTTAATCCTATTTCCTTTTTTTGTGAGAAAATTTTTCTTTTTTCCTGATGTATTAAGACGTTTATGGATAGAACTGAAAATCGATTTTAAAAGCTTGTTTTCTTCAATACTTCAGTTAAAAGCCTATATAAATTACTATATAAATTAATCTCATTTTCCCATATATTTAAGTATTTTTAATTACAGAGCGAAAAATATCAATAAAGCACCAAAGATAATGCAAACTTTTATTCACCCCAATGATGAATGCATTATGGGTTTGCCGTAGCAGTTGGGAAGACAAATAGGCTATTAATAGTGCTGCGCGTAATAACTTTAGAATAAAACGATTTTGCATTAATTAGTTTATTCATAATAACTTACTTATCACAATTTATACAGTTGTAGAAGGTAAAAAAAAAAATACCAAGTGAAGTTAACACCTAAAATGGGACATTAGCGCACTTAAATCACAATAATGATTACCACTAAAATGTTTAATGTACTGCAGATTTATTAGAATATTGAAAAAGGTATTTTTGTAGCTTAGAGTGTAATAACGCGCTGGCACACCCATGATGCACTCATCACTCGTACGGTTTTTTTTCTCTTTCATTTGATTATTTCGAATTCGCTAGTTACCCGCGCGTTCTTAACTTTTCTTACATTCGTTGTGATGTTATCTCAATCGCTCTTAGTTTTCTTTTACTTAATGGTAACGACGTTAATTTTTCTCTCTCGATTAGATTGTCTCGTTTGCGTATCGCTTGCTCTCTGTTTCACCTCTCATTTTATTGTCGTATTATTTCGCACGCTTGTTGTGTTTGCTCCATTTGCATTGCAACAGGATTACGTGAAGTAAAATTCAGGGAGAGAATCTGCGAAATTACAAGCATGAGAACCCCTTAGGGTTTAAACCCTATTACAATAGGCCATATGACAGTTGTGTACTTAGTTGCTAAGCCTTTGATTTGGAATGAGTCTAAAAGGTGACCTTGTAGGAAAGAGACCAGTATCTAGTTAGCATAGTATTAAGGCAATCTGCATTTGAAAAGCAGCAAGGTTTGTATTACAACAAGGTTACCCTTAGCCTCACTCCTGTTAAAAGGCTTAGCAACCAAGCACGCAACCATAAAATGGCCTATTGACAGGTCAATGAAAAACTGCAAGAAACAGGATAAGCATCTTATTTAACCCTTTCACCTCTAAGAGTGATTAGCATCTAATTTCTCTTAACAATATCACCCCTGAATCACACATTAAAGTCGAAAGAATAAAGCAAATGATCACCAGTTAACAAAACTCCTGACAGTTCAACAAATTCTCTTTTCAGCACCCAAGGAGTACTATTGAGAACAGTGAGGAGAATACGCATACTGATGTTAGGGTGTAAATGGTTAGCACATCAGCCTAAGGTTCAACTGTCTTAAGCTATCGAAAAGACAACATAGGGTGAAAAAAAATTACACAGAGAAAACCTCGAAATATTTCTCCTTCAGTGTCCTAAGAAAAGGTTCTTGACGTAAATATAACATCTGATTACAAGTCATAGCACCGGTCAATTTCGTACAATTTTCGTTTTCAAGCTAAACCCAGGCAACCTTGATCATCAAACTTGACCTTAATTTTCATTTGCTGGCATTGGTGTGCCTGTTACCGTTAAGTGCTTAATTGTTATTCGCTCTTTAACTGTCCGATTTGACCAGTCCGATAACAATATGCTTATATTCACACAAGCCAAATGGGAAAGTTTTGTGCTGCATAAGCTATATTAAGTAAGAAATAAAGACTGTTAAGAACCAATCAGATTCGAGCATCTTGTTATTGCCACAAAATTAGGGCATCAATACGACAATGTGTGCGTCATGCGGGTATCATCTAGCATTCTCGATGCGTAGTAGTAGATTCCAAAATTTCAACCTTGTCAGTCCGCATACTTGTTTTACATACAGTATGATCATATCAGAGTTTAAGCAGTCGCAAGGGCGACGCTCACAAAAACTTTGAATGAAAAACAAACTTATATTTCTCTTAAGAGTTAAACAAGTGGCTCGTCGTGTTTACTGTCTTTGACGACGCCAGACCTCTCTCTTGTCTACCATGAAAAAGTGACGACCGTTCTCAATGAGGATAAATTTTGGGACATCTCGTTGTTAACTTACATCAGAAGGTTCAAACATAACAAAAAAAAATTTACTCGAGCAAAACTTTTGATTTGCTCATTAACTGTTGTCGTCGAAAACTGCTGAAAGTCTCGGAGAACTTCACTGCATGCTGAGGACGATTCCTTTGTTGTCTTCTATCGTCAATTACACCATCAGTGATTTTATTTCGAGATAACAAAAATGTGAGAAAATATGCTAATTAACTATTTAGCATAGTACTCGCTCATGAAACAATAGAGGATTAAAGTGAATATATTTGTGAACAAATGCTTCTCCCAAGATGAAATCGGATCCAATTTCCCTCTCTGGTTTTGAAGCGAAAAAGGTATGTTGTGAGTCTTACGTAGTTGTCTGTTGTGGTCGAATATATGTTCTTAATGCAATGAAGTGGGTCTAAAATTAAGTCATGGGCGTGTCATTACGCGAAAGAGGAAATGTCTTCTTCAAATATTTATAAAGGAACAAAAGGCGACCGATAGCCATTTCTGTACAAGTACAAGCGGTGAATTTTAACTCAAATTATTACAGCGATCTAAATTTGACTCCTGAAGTAGTATTTGTTGTGAGGTTATCGAATGTTTCAAACCAATTCCAAAATTTTTTAAGGGTCGGTCGATTTTCTCTCAGAGTTTCTACACTTAAAGTTATTATCATTTTATCGCATATTTATTACAAATATACGTCACTTGCCTTCTCTGCTTTTAATGTCAAGTTAAGTTATGCACTGGAGTTGCTGTTAAGAAACATCTTTTAAACTCTCGCTCCCTCCCAAAGTGATTCGAGGAGATGGTGCATGATGTCAGACACACGACATCGACATAACGGTTCTTCTATCAGCATATTTGTGAGAAGAGTTTAGCTACCTTTACAAACTAATTTATATAGATCGGATGCCTTAAGCGATATAAAATGTTGGCCATTGCTGGCCTCGGAAATGCCACTAGGGTTTTATGGTATTTGGCATATTTATCAGTCGACTGTGGTGTATTGATAAATATTGGCTGTGGAAGTAAAAAAGAAACTGTTTGCCGTGTTATACGCGCTAGGAAAAAGTCCTAACACCTTTAACCCTTGCGTAGAATTGAATTATGAGAGAGAGATTGTAGAATTTGCTCCTCAAGTACAGTAAAGCTTGCGTGTCTTTCTAGCGAAGTCGAAAACTTCAACTCCAATTTGATTTTCCCTAAGGTATAGTTTTCAGTTAATTAAGTGTTTATTACACCGTGGAGAAAGAAGTGTTATTATTACGTCCGAAATATTTTGGAAATTCCAGTCGCAAGCAAATAAAAGACCTTTTGAGCCTATATCTGAAATAGCTCATTTGAATTTAACTTAACAAGTGACAAAGAGAAGGTATAATATTGGTTTTAAAAAGCCAGCCGGAAATGGCTAAGAGCAAGCCTATATTCTTTCATTTCTGTCATGCTCTGGGAAAAGTTCAGAGCAAATTGCAGCCTGCATTGATGAAAGGAAAATAAATAACTGATGCCAGAGCTGGTCTGCATTTCCAGGATAACAACGTCATAAAAATCGTATTTTCCAAATCGGTTATGCCAATCAAAATATAATGCGCTGTGTCTAATATCATTAAGTGTGATGTGAAGATATTTGTACTTAAGCTGGGCACACCTCGGATATCAATACGTTGTAGAAGCTGAGACTTCAACTGGCCCACGAATCGCTCCAATGCGGAGACTTTTTCACAATCGAATCTTACAGAATTGTTGACAGCTCCTTTGAGAAGAATAAGGTGGGATTATCCTTCTGCAAATTTCATTCTTTGCAACCACTTTTATTAACATTGATAATAGGGAAAACTTTTATCCATACTTGAAATTGCGGTTGTGTTTGTTAACTAGATTAGGTCTCACACACTCTGCACTCTTACGCGTAAAGGGCTCCACTACAATGATACAAACTTATCAAAAGCTGATTTCATGCGATTCACTTATTGATACTCAAGTATTGAGTGGTTGAGCGAATCACCAGCGCTCACAAAAAATGGTAAGACAGTGTAATAGTACTTTTATTACATTGATGCGGACATTGACAAACCTAGTAAAGCTGAAAATTACGATCTCGCTAATAATTGTTCAGTAGATTAAGTTTCCTAGCTATGAATCGAGTAGAACCTAAGTTAACTTTCTCTGTTTTAAGTTTGTATTCAATGTTTTAACAAGGTCCGCTTTTATTAGCGTCATTGGAATAACGGATAGAATGTCCTACACTTCTGAGAGAGAATACTCAAATACTCGATGCGGGGTCGTAAAACTGTATCACTTTGAGTAAATGGTTATCGTAAGAGATCTAGTTACGCGGCGAAAATCGAGTGAATTCAGAAGGAAGAAAAAGATTAATTGAATACTTGCACTTAATTATTTTACGCGTAACTAATGTGAGGCGCATATGACTTTTCGACAAGGCAAAGACAAACTCCCAATTCAATCCAAACCATGGTACAGTTACTGACTGTGAACACAAGGGTATATATATATATATATATATATATATATATATATATATATAATACGGGTCTCATGGGAAAAACTGACAGGAACAACGCAGTATGACTCAGCACACGTTTTTGAGCAAAATAACAATAGAAAAAAACACAACTTGCGCCAATACTTTGCAAATGCAAATGTTGTGTTTGTTTTTTATTGAATATAATGCTGATAAGGTCGGCGCTGCTGATGTTCTCAGGGAGGACACGAGTTTATCTTTCAGTTATTGATTCTACAAACGAAACGAACTCGAATTCCTTACATTACAATCATCTTTTCTTTTCCGCATCCCAGGTATTCTTAGCGATTACTGATGCGCTATGAAAATCAAACACACGTCTCAGAAAAAAAGTTGTAGTGAAGGTCATCTCAAGGGCGCCAAATCGAGTACTTTCATCAAAATCAGAGTTGATATCAGGCGTCATTGCTACAATATCACATCCTGTAGTTTGATGCTATCGTAACAGAATGTCCTCTCAACTATGACTCTGCCTCCTCTTAGCCAATCACAAGAAGGAAGTTTTGTTTCGCTTCAGGATTATTAAGAAATTTCAATTCCCGCATCTGTCCCATTTTCTTGGCTCCTCTCCAAACATTTCAATGATTGGCCTCCCCGTATAGGCTGTACGTGCTGTAATTAGTATCTGCTAACCGCATGCCTATTGATGAAAAACCGCTCTTAAGATGCAAAGTAGTGAAATGCATCAACAAAATACGTTCAAATATAAATCTCTTGACTTCGACTATTCAGTAATATGTATATATCATTTTGCAGATGTTAACATCAAAATCTGTTTTCATGAGGAATCCCGTACACCATGGAACACGATCCATTTTGTGTGCGCTCAAGCTAACAATGTCCTTTTCCTCGAAGCCTCAAGTTGCAGAAAATCAGTCGTTCTTCACACCTTTACCTCCCAAGGATTTAGCGCTGCAATTTAAACATCAAATTGCTGGCAGGAAATACCTGCCTGGATCTGGTGGAAAGGGCCTCCCGAAATTCCTTTCATCCGCAAGAGAAGGATTTCCATTTGCTTTGCGCGCCGAATCTATTGATCACCTGACCCCTGATAAATGGGGTCAGCTTTGCCGGGAACAGCTCGATAGAGTTCTTCCAAAATACAACGCTGTCTTATTTCGCAATTTGCCCCTTTTTGAAGCCGGAGATTTCGCCAAGTTTGCGGACAACCTCGGCTACAAACCAACGAATTACGAAGGTGGTACCGGAAACAGATACCTAGCAGAAGGTGAAACGGAAGTGTATTTATCCACCAGTGATCCCCCAGATTTTAACATCGAGCTTCATAATGAGATGGCTTGTTCACCAGTTCATCCCAAGAAGGTGATGTATTTCCACTCACTTTTACACATTTAGACTTGAGAATTTTAAAACGTCTTCAGAGTTTCATTTTACAAGTTCTCAAATTAAGACAAGGAGTCCTCGATTAAAGCAAACGTTTAAAGGATACTTTAGGCGTGTAAAATATCATTAAGGAACTGGTCAGCCGGGGGGGGTGGGGGGAAGGGGGTAATGGGTGGGGGGGTTGGAGGAATCTGGTTGTGACATGACAAAATTCATGTGTACCCCCCATAAGCCTCTGCAATATTCTTATGTTCCCCCTTCCCTCATCGGCAGTAAATTGTCAATCAACACTCGGCATATTCAACTCGCATCAATTTAAGTTTCTGAGCAACTGCGAACCTACCCCTCCCCTAAACCAACAACAGAAAACTGATAACAACTTAGATTTAGTTCAGGGTCAGGGGAGCATTGGGTAGGTGCGCAGTTGGTTAGATACTTACTTTGATCCGCCAACACCTTAGTACTTTTTGCTCCCCGGATTAAGAATTATCATTTCATAACCTTCAGACGAAACAATTTTGAGAGGTTGGCTTTCCCCTCATATGGTAATTGCCTAATAACATATTCTCTTTATAACAGGTCATTTTCTTTTGTCTCACTGAGCCCAACGAAGAATGGGGAGGTGTAACTCCGCTGGTCAGAAATAATGAGGTCTACGATCAGCTTGATCCGGAAGTGATAAAGATACTGGAAGAAAGACAAATACGCTACACTCGATACCTACCTGACGAGAAACATCATCCTTATGCCTCTTGGCAACAGTCGTTTATGACCAAAGACCCAAAGGTATGTGTTATGTTTCTCTTTCGGTAAAGAGTAAAGAGTGACTGCTAGCCCAGTGGCTCATCTTATCGGATATTATCCCGGTTCCCGCAGTGTTATACGACTAGAAGTATTGCCTTTCCTTCTCCCCGGGGTACCAGTCAATTTCAGGCTACCCCCTCCCTCCCTCTCGCAACCTTTCACCGGGTCTCCCTGAAAGTTTGCCGTTAACCATTCACTCTTCTGGATGAACAGAGGCACTGAGATAATAAAATGTCTATGTCTATTTCTGCGACAGAATATTGCTCATTCATTGTAACGTAAGACTTATCATTTAACTGGAAAACAAAATGAATAAATTCCCCTTGGTTTCTGAGGAGTAAAATTTTATAACAAAAATATATGTATATTAAGCCCCTACCGGTATCGGCTTATCAGTATGTTCAGTCTTTGCTATCCCATTCACAAATTATATACCCCTAACTTTATGAGAAAAACTACATTTAAGATCGGTCAGAACCATGCAGAATATTTTGAGAACTGAAAAACGATTCTAAGCTGTCTTCAAAAATACCGTGGAAAATGGAAATTGTTGATGAAACCTGTGAAGACATAACGTCGACGCTTGGTCTCATTTTGTCGCCACTTTCAGATACGCTAAATGTCTGAGTTTCAGTGCATTTCTTGAAATCTTGTTTGGAAAACTGAACGCGTTGATTCCTCCATTCAGTTCCCCATAAAAAAAGTATCTCTGGTAATAAGCTCACCTAAACGACTCTAAGAAATAGAGGCTTATAAGGGAATCACCTGGTGGGGGAGTAGTTTGGTAGAGTCACGATGATATTTATCCGATCCCACTTCCGTTTGAATGTGTTGTCCTTTCTTCTTTTTTTGCATGGTAGAAGGTGGAGGAATACTTGAAAAGAGAAAAGTTCAATTACGAGTGGGAGGAAAGCACTGGAAATCTGTATTACTGGTATGTACTCCCACCACTGGCGACTCATCCAGTTACAGGCCGCAAAATTTGGTTCACACAACCAAACGTTCATCACAACACGTACTAC